ATCAAGGTTAAGTTAACGTAGTCAAGTCCGTATCTCAGTACTATAATTAATAGGTTATATATTATATATATAATATATTTGGTGTATGTAATGCTTGTACGGTGCACAAGTCCGGCTGGCAAGTTTGACCTTGACCTCATTTTCATGGTTCAGTGGACAATGTTTAGTGTTTGTGGTCTTGTCAATTCCCAGATACTATGAGTTATAGGGCTTCTATGTTTGGTGTATGAAATGATTGTAAGGTGTACATGTCTAACTTGCAGATTTCATCTGACCTTGACCTCATTTTCATGGTTCATTGGACAATGTTAAGTTTTCGTGGTTTTGTCATTTTAGCAGATACTATGAGCAACAGGTCAACTATATTTGGTGTGTGGAATAAATGTAAGGTGTACATGTCTGTCTGGCTGGGTTCTTATGACCTTGACCCTTTTTCATGGTTCATTGGTCAATGATAAGATTTTGTGGTTTGGTCTGTTTTCTATGTACTATTAGCAATAGGACCACTATATTTGGTGTATAGAATGATTTTAAGGTGTACATGTCTGTCGGCCAAGGTTCATCTGACCTTGAACTCATTTTCATGGATCATTGATAATGTTAAGTTTATGGTATACCTGTAAAAAAACCTTAATATTACAGACTTTTAACAAAAATTCAATCATAAGTAAAGCAGACGAGACATTTCAGCGTATTTGCTCTTGTTTCATTGTGGGTTTTACTTTTAGGACATATTGCTGTATATTTTCATACACAGGGTATTGCAGATAGTGTACTGTACATGGGGATAGCTGAAGCAATAAACAAAGGATAACCAAATTATTAAAGGTCAGATGTTTTTTTATAGTTTCAATCCAATTTTTGATCAATTATTGTTTATAAAAGCATAATTATTTCAGTAAACCTTCTATTCACTTAAATTTTGAAACACAATTTTAACACTGGTAAAAAAATTGTGAATTGTTGAAGCTGAACATAATCTAACTGAAAGGATCAGGATGAAGTGCAATAAATTAAAATTCCTAGCTTTTTATGTTATACTTTGTTTAATTCTTATTTTTGTATGACAGGTTCCTTTGTTATTGGTAAAACTCAAATCAACACTCAATAGTTGACATCATATACAGAAATAAGTTAATTAACTGTACGCATGAATGTAAAGTATAAGCCTTTGCTTCATACACTAGTTATATAATTGTCTCCTGTCGTTTTGTGCTTTACAGTTGGATCATACTGGAGGAAACATGGATCATTCCTGGGAACATTATACTTATGCATTATGTCCCAGCTCATACTGAAGGAACATGGATCATACTAAATGAAACTTGAAAACATGGATAATACTGAAAGAATCTTGGATCATACTAAAAGTATCTTGGATCATACTGAAGGAATCTTGGATCATACCAAAGGAAACTTGGATCATACTGAAAGAATCTTGGATCATACTGAAGAAAACTTGGATCATACCAAAGGAAACTTGGATCATACTGAAGGAAACTTGGATCACACTGAAGAAAGCATGGATCAAACTGAAGGAAACTTGGATCATACTGAAAAAAAAACTTGGATCATACCAAAGAAAACTTGGATCATACTGAAGGAAACTTGGATCACACTGAAGAAAGCATGGACCACACTGAAGGAAACACGGATCGCACTGTAGGACACATGGATCATACTGAAGGAAACTTGGATCACACTGAAGAAAGCATGGATAAAACTGAAGGAAACATGGATCATACTAAAGGAAACTTTGAAACATGGATCATACTGAAGAAAACATGGATAATACTTAAGGAAACTTGGATCATACTGGAGAAACTTGGATCATCCTGAAGGAAACTTGGATGATACCAAAGGAAACTTGGATCATACAGAGGGAATCTTGGATCATACTCGAAAACTTGGATCACACTGGAGGAAACTTGGATCATACTTAAGGACACTTGGATCATACTGAAGGAAATTTGGATATACTAAAAAGGAAACTTGGATCATACTGTAGGAAACATGGATCACACTGACAAAATCTTGGATCACACTGAAGAAAAGATGGATCATACTCATGGAAACTTGGATCACACTGAAGAAACTTTGATCATACTAAAGGACACATAGATCATACTGAAGGAAGCATGGATCAAACTGAAGAAAACACAGATCACACTGTAGGAAACTGAAACATGGATCATACTGAAGGAAACTTGGATCACACTGAAGAAAGCATGGATAACTGAAGGAAACATGGATCATACTGAAGGAAACTTTGAAAAATAGATCATACTGAAGGAAACATGGATAATACTTAAGGAAACTTGGATCATACTGTAAGAAACTTGGATCATCAAGAAGGAAACTTGGATGATACCAAAGGAAACTTGGATCATACCGAGGGAAACTTAGATCATACTCATGAAAACTTGGATCACACTGGAGGAAACTTGGATCATACTGAAGGACACTAGGATCATACTGAAGGAAACCTTTACCATACTAAAGAAAACGTTGATCATACTCATGAAAACTTGGATCACACTGGAGGAAACTTGGATTATACTGAAGGAAATTTGGATCATACTAAATGAAACCTTGATCATACTAAGGGAAACTTTGATCATACTCATGAAAACTTGGATCACACTGGATGAAACTTTGATCATACTGAAGGACACTTTGATCGTACTGAAGGAAACATGGATCATACTAAAGGAAACATGGAATGTACTGAAGGAAAAATGGATCATACTAAAGGACACTTGGATCAGACTAAAGAAACTTCGATCTTACTGAAGAAACATGTATCATAATGAAGGAAATTTGGGTCACACTGAAGGAAACTTGGATCAGAACTAAAGGAAACGTGGATCATACTGAAGGAAACATGGATCATACTGGAGGAAACTTGGATCATACTGAAGGACACTTGGATCATACTGAAGGAAATTTGGATCATACTAAATGAAACCTTGATCATACTAAAGGAAAATTTGATCATACTAAAGGAAACTTGGATCATACTGAAGGACACTGGGATCATACTGAAGAAAACTTGGATTATACTGAAGAAAACTTGGATTATACCAAAAGGAAACTTGGATGAAGGACACTTGGATCATACTGAAGGAAACTTGAATCATACTGAAGGAAACATGGATCACACTGAAGGAAACTTGGATTACACTGAAGAAAAGATTGATCATACTCATGGAAACTTTGAAACATAGATCATACTGAAGGAAACATGGATAATACTTAAGGAACATGGATCAAACTGAAAGAAACTTGGATCACACCAACGGAAAATTGGATCAAACTGAAGGAACTTGGATCACACTGTAGGAAACTTGGATCATACGGAAGGAAACTTTGATCACACTGAAGAAACTTGGATCATACTAAAGGACACATAGATCACACTGAAGGAAACTTGGATCATACTAAAGGACACATAGATCGCACTGAAGGAAACTTGGATCATACTCATGGAAACTTTGAAACATGGATCATACTGAAGGAAACATGGATAATACTAAATGAACATGAATCACACTGAAGGAAACTTGGATCATCCTGAAGGAACATGGATCACACTGAAGTAAACATGGATCATTCATTGGGAAACTTGGATCATACATTGGGAAACTTGGATCATACAGAGGGAAACTTGGATCATATTGAAGGAAACTTGGATCATACTAAATGAAACCTTGATCATACTGAATGAAACTTTTATCATACTAGGAAACTTGGGTCATACTAAAGGAAACTTGGATCATACTGAATGACACTTTGATCATACCGAAGGAAAATTGGATAATACTGAAGGAAACGGATCATACTGAAGGAAAATATGATCACACAGAAGGAAACTTGGATCACAAAGAGGGAAACTTGGATCATATTAAAGGAAACTTGGATCATACTGAAGGAAACTTTGATCACTTAAGAAAGCAAGAATCATACTGAAGGAAACTTTGATCACTTAAGAAAGCATGGATCAAACTGAGGGAAACATGGATCATACTAAGGACACTTGGATCACACTAAAGAAACTTCGATCTTACTGAAGGAAGCATGTATCATAATGAAAGAAACCTGGGTCACACTGAAGGAAACTTGGATCATACTAAAGGAAACTTGGATCATACTAAAGGAAACGTGGATCATAGTGAAGAAAACATGGATCATACTGAAGGAAACTTGGATCATACTGAAGGAAACATGTCTCATACTGAAGGAAATTTGGATCACACTGTAGAAAACTTGGATCACACTGAAGAAACTTGGATCATACTAAAGGAAACTTGGATCATACTGAATGAAACTTGGATCATACTGAAGAATAATTGGATCACACTGAAGGAAATTTGGATCACACTGTAGAAAACTTGGATCACACTGAAGAAACTTGGATCATACTAAAGGAAACTTGGATCATACTGAATGAAACTTGGATCATACTGAAGAATAATTGGATCACACTGAAGGAATTTTGGATCACACTGTAGGAAACTTGGATTATACTGAAGGAAACATGGATCATACTGAAGGAAACATGGATCATAATGAAGGAAACATGGATCGTACTGAAGAACACTTGGATCACACTGAAGGAAACTTGGATCACACTGTAGGAAACATGGATCATACTAAAGGAAACATGGATCGTACTGAGGAATATTTGGATCATACTAAAGGAAACTTGGATCACACTGTAAGAAGCTTGGATCATACTAAAGGAAACTTGGATCACACTGTAAGAAACTTGGATCATACTAAAGGAAACTTGGATCATACTGTAAGAAACTTGGATCATCATGAAGAAAACATGGATCAAACTGAAGGAAACATGGATCATACTGAAGGAAACTTGGATCAAACTGAAGGAAACATTGATCGTACCAAAGGAAAATTGTATCATACTGGAGGAAACATGGATCATACTGAAGGAAACTTGTGTCATACTGAAGGAAACTAGAATCATTCTTAAGAAAGCATGGATCATAATAATGATTTTATTTAAAAAAAAACTTCAATACAAATTAAAAGCTTTTGAAGCAATATACAATAACTGGCATCAATAGAATATAACATTATTTATCATAAATCATTATTTCAAAAGGAATAAATATCAAGAACACATAGTCAAACTATTCAACAGGGGTCATACAACTACCAACATTTCAATCACACCTTTTTTAGTTCTTACATTATCTCTTGTGTTGCATATTTTTCCTATTTAATTGTATTGTAAAACCCTGCACTTACACAGTTTAAAAACATTTATTGTACAACACTAGTAATGTTCTGTGTCAGAGATAAGTTTCTATATTTATTATGTGTAATATACACAAAATACTATGCACAGAATATTTGTGGATATATAGATCCTACAAATTTAACATCAATGGACATGAAAATATTTGATCGCTAGCTAGGGGATATTTAATGACTGAACAGGGAATTTCCAACCACTGGACAGGGAAATATCCAATCACTTGACATGGAAATATCCAACCACTGGACAGGGAAATATCCAATCATTTGACAGGGAAATATCCAATCAAGTGACAAGGAAATATTCATAACTTGATGGAAATATTCAATCACTTGACAGGGAAATATTCAATCACTGGGCTGGGAAATAATCAGTCAATGTACATTTAAATACTCAAAATTCAGCAAATGAAACTTTATACAATGAAAGTCAGTCCTTTAAAAAAAATGATGCAGGGAAAAAACCAGACTTTTATCATAAAGAAAATGTATTAAATCAAAGTTAACTCCCTTTTGCATGCGTAAAATAGATACAAAATTTTTATATATTTTTGACAAAAATATTGCCCTAAGATTTAAACATTTAAAATCATACAACATCAGCCTGACATATTCATAACTATGTGGCCATTCAAATTGTTGGATTATACATAAAAAAAAAAAAAAAAACATGTAGTCTTTTACATTTAAAAAATAAACAAAACAAATACACAGATATATTTCAACTTTATATATGCGTGTATATAGAATAGGTTTAAAACACCTTCTTATGCCAATATATATTTGAAGTTTTAGGTTTCAAGGAATGCTGACTTGTAATTACTTCTCACAAAATAGGTTTTTAGGATAATGTTGTTGCTCATATATGTCACTCTTGAAACTCAAATATAAAAAAAACTTTACAGTGATAAAATAAAAAGTAATTGCACATTTAAAAAAATTTATGACTGTTGTGTGTTAAATGCCAATAACATGGATTAATGCCTTACCTAATATATACATCATGTAAAAATACAAATACTGGTTTTCACTCATAAACCTCTGGATTGCACCAATATTTTTCACTATTAAAGATTTGATCACTGACTTATTAAATAAGCACCTTCAGTATTAAATTCATAAACGGTTCCAAGAAAACCTTTGGTTTCTCATCTGTGACTGTTGCTGTCAGTGTAATAGTGTTACGTCGTCTGCTTATTATAAATGACAAAACAAGTTTCATATAATTCCAAGATGGTTTGAAAAAGTTATTGATGTCTAAAACAATTTAACCCCACACACACTGTATTAAAATGTTATTTATAAAAAGAAACATCTATCTATAAAATACAAAAAATAGAAATCTTAATCAAATTTTAAAATATCACTTCAAATGTTATCTCTTGATCATGAAGAAGCTTCTTTCCAAGTTTCATAACAATCAATGAAGGTTTGATAAAGTTATCGCTGTCTCAAAAAACTTTCAACAAAGGCTAACCTAAATTTTGAAGACTACAATGAAATCTAGGATCGCTATGTCACGCCTTCGAAACTTTTGTCAGACTAGAAAAAAATCACACTGATAAAAATGAAATGACATAACAATCAATTCAACATAAATTAATATGATGCAATATAATTATAATAACAATATATTCACACATTAAAAATGCTACATTCCATGTAGATCTAACAAATTTCAATCAAATCAATTAAATATAGAATCAATAAAAGTTTCAAAAGAGAAACATTAAAATGGCAGGAACATTGAAGTCCATTCGATACCTACAGGCCACTCAAAATTAATTAATCAAAAATATTCCCTTCGTGGTAGAATTCTTATGCAATACCATTTCATACAAACTGATAATTATTTTCTGAACTTGTTATAATTAAATTTTTGTAACACTTCTTCTGATTGGCTGAAAGTGTTTTGTCTATCAGCTTATAGACATAGTATTGTCATGTGACTGTGACATCATCAACTTTTTTCATGATTTACTCCTTAAAAATGGAATTTAGAATTAAATTATAAGGAATGACTGTAATATTTTTTCTGTCTATTCGAAATAACCTGTGTAGCGGGTTATTTAAAAGTGTTATTTCTTCAAAGACAGAAAAAGTATTACAGTCATTCCTTGAATATTATATGTTTTTAAATAGTTGTTACAAAGAATTTTAAAATATCCCTTTTATCTAGTGACAGTAAGCAACAGAACAAACTATGAAAGTCCATGGGCTAATCAGCATCCATGTAACTGCCGGATTTTTATATAGTTTCAAAAAACAGACTTTTTAACATAAAAAGTAAATTTAAAATGACAATGCAAAGAAAAAAAATTCAAAGTGTTGCAAAACTGTTTGTCCATGTTTTATTAAGGTTAACATACATTTGTCCCTTCTAATGCAACTGAAAGGAAACACCCCTAAATAATACATTTTAAAATCAGTCACATGACTTTTTTGTTTGCATGCATAATCTCATATTTTTGTCTGGGGAAATTGTTGTAGTTTAGTTAAGTTTAATTGTTGTAAAAAATACCTTACAAAAAATGTTAAATGCAAGACTGACTATCCTTTATAGGCAAGGAGGACGTCAATCAGAAAATCCTAGAAAAAAGAAAAAACTGCTTTAGTTCAATGTCATTGTGATTACACATGTTCAGCCTGGTATCCTGTTTTTGTAAAAAGTTTTAAAATAAGGAACAGATTTATTAAAGACATCTGTAAATAATAATGTATTAAATCTTATAAAAAATGGAACTTGTTGTCAGTTGATTTAAAGTGCAACAAAACTTTTGAATCTTAAATCTAAATGTCAAGATTTCCTATCAGAAAAGGAAAGCAACGGTTTTTATATCAAATTTTTATTTTATTGAATACTTGAACGATCTTGACAATGTCATTGTCAATTATGGAATAGATGCTCTAAAATTTGTGTGGTGTTATCCAATCAAAAGGAACATTACAAGCATAGATGCATTAGAACATCCAGTCTGCTGTAAGTAAGACATATTTTTCAAGTTTTAACTAACAATCACACAGTAAACTGATATTTACATTTAAGCACATGAAATGCTGTTGTTCTGTCGCATATTTCAACTTGGAGAAAAAAGGAATCTTAATATTCAAATCAAAATAGAAAGAGGACTTTTATAAATAATAAATAAGTTAATTTGAGGGAACAAAATAATATTTGGAATTTTTTTAATTGACACAGCAACCAATGCCTCTGGAATGTAAATTTCTTCACATCTTTGACATTCCTTCAATGATACTCTATCTTTTCTCTACACCCATTGCAAAGTAAATGTCTTTAACAGATTTGCTGCAATACCTTGTGCTTTTAAAACCTGAAATATACATAAAAGGTAAAAATTAAACATATTTACAGTTTGTATAACATAAACCTTATGTAATGAGATTTGGTTTGTGTTCAGATCTAGAGGAGTACACATAGGCCAGATAATCCACCCTTTATTTTAAGAGTTCAGAACATATGTGTCACTGGAAAATTACTTTCTTACTTATATTGGGATACACATCTTTATATAAAACCTGGTACCCTATTATCACTATATACCACTTGCTCTACATAAGTTACAAATTATAAATTAACTGTTTACAAACTTTTATTTTTTTTTTGAAATACTAAGGATTTTCTACCCCAGGAATAGATTGATTACCTTAGCTTTATTTGGCAAAAGCTTTCAGAATTTTGGGTCCCAAATGCTCTTCAGCTTCCTACTATTTTTGGCCCTTTTAACTTTTTTGATTTGAGCGACACTGATGAGTCTTTTGTAGACCAACCATATGTCTGGTGTACAAAATTTTAATCCTGGTATCTATGATGAGCTTATTTACATATGGTTGAACTAGCTGCTCATCATTATTACAAGTTTTATGAGAGCCTTCTCTTGTCAATGAAAGCAACTATGGATAATGAGAGAAAGAAAGGTATAAATTATCCAATTCTTTCACAAATCTGCATATTAAAAAAAATAACTTAAGTCATGTGGGGATTATTTAAGTGTAAGTTGTGTCTGATTTTCCATAGTGTCTTTAGAACAAACACTGTAAATTCAGAAATTATTGCACGCATTTATTATTGCGATTTTTGAAAAATGGACAAAAATGCAAGATTAATTATTGCGATTTCAGGAAAATCTGCATACAGATATATGTATCAGATATCAGAATATGAGTTCTTATTATTGCGATATTCACACAGTCGCATTATCGCGTTAATAAAAACCTTGCAATTATTTCTGAAATTACAGTAATGAAAAGTGGAAAGGGCATTTGATGTATTCTGTCTATCATAAAATAATCCAAAATATACCTGAGCATGTCTCCTAGTTACACCTCAGGTCGAAAGGTGTCGTCAGTGGTAAATTTTTCTTAAATATTTTATAATTAATTTACCTTTTTTCTATTAAAAAATTATATCAAATATCTACCAATTTTACAGAGGTTTTCACGATTAAAATTGAAATTATCAAAAGTTTTTATGTACTTTTTTCCAGTTGAGTTAATAAAAATTTATCCCCACAAAAGAATAATCTACATTGAGCACTAAAGTTCCTTTTATAATTTTAAGGTTGACCAATACTTACATGCAACTTGTCATCATATGTGAATTGACTTATAGCCATGCCATTGAATTTAACTGTAGATGGTTTCTGTAAGACTCCAAACACTACAATGGATCTCAGTAACATAGGTTCATCAGTATACCCTGCATACATTACATTGTTTGTCACAATATTCTGAAATAAAACCCACATTGATTACACTGATACACTGTCATTTTATGACATATCATTCATACATGTTCTTTTCTTATGTTTATCATATAAGTAAAAATTTGATGATGGTCATCAACCAATACAAATTTACATATGTGAAGCATATTTATACAGCATAAATATATCTTTATCACACATTACATATTATATCTAAAGCTTTAGCAAGTTATTCCATTGCAGCAGGGACAGTCTATACTAACTTATAGACTGTTCCTGATTGCAGTGGGTTTCTTTGGAGTCTTTTTTCCATAATTAAATGAAGTTTAACATGATCTATCAACCGTGACTAATTTTCTATTATAATTTTTGTTACCTAAATTTCAAGAGGGTAAGTAAATACATGTAATTTTCTCGATACAATACCATTTAAAAAATCTTGAAAAAACCTCAATCTATTGCATCCAAAACAAATTTATACGTTAAGGTGGTACCAAACACCTTGACTAAAATAAATTTGGCTCCTTTAATTTTCATAAAATTTTGACAAAATATTTACTTTGACCCTTTGACAAAAATATAAAAGTTTTAAAAAACTTGAACCACTACCTTCATCGTAAAAATTTGATTAGATATATAGCAGTTTAACAAACACTAATTTTGATCATTGAGAAGCTTACTTAATATTAATTCATGTAATTTAACAATAGAACGTTATTAAAACGTTCAGGTGATTTTTACAGAGTTATCTCACTGTAATGTTATGTACCACCTTAAACGTTGGATACAAAACATGGCAAGCTGAAATTAAGAAATTAGTTGTAATTACCTTAGATGAATGAAATCTGATCATATTGAACTTTCCCATTGTGTGGGTATCTGAAATCACAAAAAAAAAATTTATTAATCTTCTCTGTTCTCTCAATTCATCTACATATATCCCATCTATCACTAGAACATGAAATAATGATTTTAATCACACATGTATAAAAATTGTTATATCTTGATCCTTCAGTTATTAAAACAGTATCTTGCTGTGTATTGTCAAACTGGAAATGGGGTAACACTAAAGCCAAGTGTCTAAGACTACTAATATCAACAAAGCAAGATTTCCCATAATTAAACCATTTCTACGGATTTGCAAAGGTTAAACATTTATAAATGATTTGTTAGCTGCTTTATTTTTCAAATGGATAGAATTGATAGGTGGATATTTGTTATCAAGACTCTCTGATTTACTGGTACCCAGTTTCTGGATAAGATGAAAACCCTGTGAGTGTTATTGCTGAGATAACTTTATTGTCTACTTTTAAGAATGGTGTTTAGTGTTGTAATTTATGAAACTCAAAATGAAAATATTCAGCTCACATACAAACACACACACCAATATATGACTATAAAATATATATGTCTATTAGTAATCCATCATCCCAGAAAAATATCACTTTATTCGACTGATATATATATATATACCTATAGTATCCCCATTTTTCTAGCAAAGATCACTTTCTACAATACAAAAACACACACACACACTCTGATATATATATGTAGGACTCAGAGGTGCGATGGGTATGCTGAAGTGCGATGGTCCACGCCGAAGTGCAATGGTCCTTTCGCTGAAGTGCGATGGTTTGGTATGCCGCTTGAATATTGTGACGTTTTCAAATACAATGTTACTTTTAAAAATACAACATGGATTCTCAGGCAAAGAAAGAAAGGAATGAAAAAATAAAATGTAACGAACGGTTCAAGTCCCGAACAGTTTTGAGCAGTACAGGTGGAGGTTACAAAAATATGTTAAACCATTTCAGGCAGCAAATCATGGGGAGCAAAGCAGCTGAAAGATAAACTTGGTCAGGAATATGCTAATCAGTGTTTGGAAGTATGCTGCAAACTTTTTGCACAATAGATAAAATATATTGATTTAGATATAAATTTTGACTTCCCTTCAAGTAATGCGTCACATGATTTTGTGTGGACAATTTAATGATAAAATTAATCATTAGCTATGTTTTTGCTATATCAAGTTGATATAATGTTGCAGTTTTATTCCTGAGATAAATCCTGCTTTGTAAGAACACTGGCACTCTAGCATAATTTTATTGTGGTTACAGTGTTAATCTTCTACAACAAGTTTGGCCGAAGTAAACCTGACTGGTCCCTACATGTACTTCCAAATTTCTCCTCCTCAGCGGAGAAGCAGCTAATTTTAAAGTTTTTGGTGGAATACGTCACACGTCTCGCTATAAGTCAAGCATAAATATAATTGGCTATTTTTTACTTCTTGGACACTGTTCCGACATCAGATAAATGGATGAATGATTGTTGGGAGAAATTTTTAAGTTTGTCATGACGTGAATAAATTATATTTTATAAAATGAGATGGACCCTGCTTAGTGCTATATATAGACACATATGTTGGACCTTTTTTTTATCGCCCTTGAACACCCCATAAAAAGACATTTTACTCCACTCAAACCCTTTATGCTTATCTGAACCATCCAATCTATTTCTGACTCTATATTGCAACGTGCCTATCGGAGAATTGGCAACTGTAAAATTAGATTTAAAAAAATCTTTGGTTTGACCTGAACAGAAATTAAACGAGCTTCCAAATGCAAGGCTAGCAGCTACTTTGGTCAAATCTTAATGACGTTATTTCATGCAGCCCATGTACATTTGCTTTTTACTCAATGTCACAGGCAGACCATCGCACTTCAGCGTAACCACCATCGCACTTCAGCGTAGTTATCAACAAGTTAATGTCATAATGTCACCATCGCACTTCAGCCTGTTAACCAACGCACTTCAGCGTGACCATCGCGGTTCCGAGTCCTACATCTATACCTATAGTATCCCCAGTTTTCCAGAAAAGATCACTTTCTACAAAACACACAAACACATTTATTTGATATTTACCATTTGTATCCCCATCGTCCAAGAAAAGGTCACTTTCTACAATACACACACACACACCTTATTGATATTTACCTATGGTATCCCCATCATCCCAGAAAAGATCACCTTCTACAACACACACACAGAAAAGATCACCTTCTACAATACACACACACATTAATTGATATTTACCTATGGTATCCCCGTCGTCCCAGAAAAGATCACCTTCTACAACACACACACACACACATCTAATTTATTCTAACCTATGGTATTTCCATCATCCCAGAAAAGATCACCTTCTACAATACACACACACACACACATCTAATTGATACTTACCTATTGTATCCCCGTCGTCCCAGAAAAGATCACCTTCTGCTGTTCCATCGTCATCTAATGATACCACCAGGGAAAATTTATTTTTACGACTAGAAATAAAAAAAAGTACCTTTAAACATTTTATTTTCAATGAAAAGAATGAAATGTGAAAGAAAAAATATTTTTTTTCATAAACAGATATAAAATAAATAGCCATTAGAGCCATGTTAGACCAATAAAAAAAAATAATGGACATTATTCTGAATGTGATTCCAAATAGATTATTTCAAATGGAGGGTCAAATGATTTTCAACAGTTTACAGTAAATTCAGAAACTAATGTATGCATTTATTATTACAAATCACTAATTTCTAATTACAATGCAAGATCTAATTGATGTGATTGCAAATATTTTGTAAAGTAAAATCATAACTGAAACTATGAATGCCAATTTTTATTATAGGGAACCAGATACTGTTGCATTTTTGGCATTAATAAAAAGATTGCTATAATTTCTGCATTTACAGAAATTGAAAAAACACAGGAATACAAGGTGGGGCTGGCTATGGGAAACTTCTGTTCAAACTGTCTTTTAATTAACCCTATTTCAAGGAACTTTCTTTTGGTTTTCTATGTTGTGTTTTGTTAGAGTCTAAAATCAAACATTACATTGTATTTAAAAAAAAAAAACACATTTGTGTAACTGGTTAAATTGAGTTATCTCCCTTAAACCATAATTTGAGAAAGGAATATGCACCATGCACTACTTTTTCCAACTTACAATTTTTCATAACATGATTTTCTTGAGAAGTATAGTAATATTATGCCTTCTTCTGTAAGTTTGTACTGACTTAATATCACAAAGTATATTTCCCTCTGTGTTTACCTGAGAGTTGTTGTCAATTCAGGATCCTGTAGTGTGATAATGGACCCCCCTCTGACATGAAGATTTATCTTATTAGCAGGGGCTTCTAATTTCACCACAGAACCATTACTGTGTATAGCTCCACCTGTGTACCAATCATACCATACACCTGATGGAAAATATGCACCTATACTGGTTGTTCCCTGAAATGTTGGAAACCAAGTTAAGTTAATAGAGAAATATTAAAACGATATAAACAAAATTTAAAAAAATAGCATTGAAAAACAAAATTTTCCAATATGTTGTCTAAAATTTTTATAATAAGCCTCAAACTGATATGCTAATTTCTTCTTGCAATTGATGTGACGTGAAAACATACATAATATTAAATATATTTTTAATATAGACTATAATTCCATACAAAAACCTTGACATGGCCATCATATTAGAATCCTCAGGATAAGAAAAATCATCCATGATTTTTACCTTTGTAACGGCAGGAGAAATTATCAATGAACTTTACCTTTGAATGTAACCTTTGTTATGACAGAAGAAATCTTCAACGGACTTAACCTTTGTTAGGATAGGAAAAATCATCAATGCATTACCTTAACCTTTAGTAAGACAGGAGAAATCTTCAATGAACTTAACCTAGGCTAAGAGCAGGAAAAATCATTCATGAATATAACCTTTGTTATGACATGAGAAATCATCAATGGACTTTACCTTTGCTAGGACAGGAGAAATCATTAATGAACTTAACCTTCGTTAGGGCAGGCAGGAGAAATCATCAATGAACATTACCTTTGTTAGGCAGGAGAAATAATCAATGAACTTAACCTTTGCTAGGACTGGAGAAATCATCAATGAACTGAACCTTTGTTAGGGCAGGAGAAATTATCAATGGACTTTACCTTTGTTAGGGCATGAGAAATCATCAATGAACTGAACCTTTGTTAGGGCATGAGAAATCATCAATGAACTGAACCTTTGTTAGGGCAGGAGAAATCATCAAAGGACTTTACCTTTGTTAGGCAGGAGAAATCATCAATGGACTTTACCTTTGTAAGGGCTTGAGAAATCATCAATGAACTTTACCTTTGTTAGGCAGGAGAAATAAACAATGAACTTAACCTTTGTTAGGACAGGAGAAATCATCAATGGACTTTACCTTCGTAAGGGCAGGCAGGAGAAATCATCAATGAACTTAACCTTTGCTAGGACAGGAGAAATCATCAATGCACTGAACCTTTGTTAGGGCAAGAGAAACCATCAATGAACTGAACCTTTGTAAGGGCTTGAGAAATCATCAATGAACTTTGCCTTTGTTAGGCATGAGAAATAAACAATGAACTTAACCTTTGTTAGGACAGGAGAAATCATCAATGGACTTTACCTTTGTAAGGGCAGGCAGGAGAAATCATCAATGAACATTACCTCTGTTAGGGCAGGCAGGAGAAATCATCAATGAAAATTACCTTTGTTAGGGCAGGCAGGAGAAATCATCAATGAACATTACCTTTGTTAGGCAGGAGAAATAATCAATGAACTTAACCTTTGCTAGGACAGGAGAAATCATCAATGAACTGAACCTTTGTTAGGGCATGAGAAATCATCAATGAACTTTACCTTTGTAAGGTCAGAAGAAATCATCAATGGACTTTACCTTTGTTAGGCAGGAGAAATCATCAATAACTTTACCTTTTTAAGGGCAGGAGAAATCATCAATGAACTGAACCTTTGTTAGGCAGGAGAAATAAACAATGAACTTAACCTTTGTAAGGGCTTGAGAAATCATCATTGGACTTTACCTTTGTAAAGGCTTGAGAAATCATCAATGGACTTTACCTTTGTAAGGCATGAGAAATCATCAATGAACTTAACCTTTGTTAGGCAGGAGAATTCATCAATGAACTTTACCTTTGTTTGGCAGGAGAAATCATCAATGAGCTTAACCTTTGCTAGGACAGGAGAAATCATCAATGAACTGAACCTTTGTTAGGGCAGGAGAAATCATCATTGGACTTTACCTTTGTTAGGCAGGAGAAATAAACAATGAACTTAACCTTTGCTAGGACAGGAGAAATCATCAATGGACTTTACCTTTGTTAGGGCAGGCAGGAGAAATCATCAATGAACTTTACCTTTGTTAGGGCTTGAGAAATCATCAATGGACTTTACCTTTGTAAGGGCTTGAGAAATCATCAATGGACTTTACCTATGTTAGGCAGGAGAAATAAACAATGAACTTAACCTTTGCTAGGACAGGAGAAATCATCAATGAACTGAACCTTTGTTAGGACAGGAGAACTCATCATTGGACTTTACCTTTGTAAGGGCTTGAGAAATCATCAATGGACTTTACCTTTGTTAGGCAGGAGAAATAAACAATGAACTTAACCTTTGCTAGGACAGGAGAAATCATCAATGAACTGGACCTTTGTTATGGCAGACAGGAGAAATCATCAATGAACTGAACCTTTGTAAGGGCTTGAGAAATCATCAATGGACTTTACCTGTGTAAGGGTTGGAGAAATCATTAATGAACTTTACCTTTGTTAGGGCATGAGAAATCATCAATGAAATTTACCTTTGTTAGGGCAGGAGAAATCATCAATGAACTTTACCTTTGTTAGGGCAGGAGAAATCATCAATGGACTTTACCTTTGTTAGGCAGGAGAAATCATCAATGAACTTTACCTTTGTAAGGGCATGAGAAATCATCAATGAACTTTACCTTTGTTAGGCAGGAGAAATAAACAATGAACTTAACCTTTGCTAGGACAGGAGAAATCATCAATGAACTGAACCTTTGTTAGGGCAGGAGAAATCATCAATGGACTTTACCTTTGTTAGGGCAGGAGACATAAACAATGAACTGAACCTTTGTAAGGGCAGGAGAAATCATCAATGAACTGAACCTTTGTTAGAGCAGGAGAAATCATCAATGAACTGAACCTTTGTTAGGGCATGAGAAATCATCAATGAACTTTACCTTTGTAAGGTCAGGAGAAATCATCAATGGACTTTACCTTTGTTAGGCAGGAGAAATCATCAATGAACTTTACCTTTGTAAGGGCTTGAGATATCATCAATGACCTTTACCTTTGTAAGGTCAGGAGAAATAATTAACAAATTTTACCTTTGCAAGGGCTGGAGAAATCATCAATGAACTTCCCCAGAGGAACTGGCTATCTATACTATAAGTGTTTTTGTCCTGTGGAAACCTAAAATGAAGTAAAGTTTTATTATCAGGTTTATAGTAAAATTTAAGTTGATATGAGGTATACCTGGTTGCATGCATTTTACCATTAATCTTCTGACTCTGACGTTTTACTGTAAATATTTTAGACTCACGATTTGAATCTATAGATATTTCTGCCCCAAACCTTGTAGTCATATAAAGATAAGATAAGATAAGATTTATTTTTTTAAAGTGTCACCATCAATCAGGGGCGGATTCAGGCGGGGGAGTAGCGAGCTGTTTTCCACCATTTTTTTATGTTAATGTATATACTGTTTGAATAGGCAGTCAGATATACATCTCTATATATGAATGAAATGTAATAACAATATACAATTATCATACAAGTTTATTACAATCAAGGAGCATTTTATTATTTCCATTACTTTTGGCAAAGGATAGTTTATTCTTGATCATTCTTGTGCCTCAATTTTCGTAACTCCTTCATATACCTTGCAAGGTGCCAGTTTTAGGAGGAAGACTCACACTTTTTTTCCTTTAGCAATAATAATTTTCCCTCTTTGAGTCTGTCACCTGATGTGGAGGTCAATATCTCCTTCTTTGACAAAAAAAAACCTATTTCACCTCTTTCATCATTCAAGTTGTTTTGATAGTATTTTCTGTGTTTAATTTTTACTTTCCTACAAAAATAATGCGTATTTAAATATTATTAAAGGACATCCAATTTGATCAAATATGATGTTCTAACTGATTAAATCCATGTATGAATAATTTTTTTCACTTTGTACTGCAATATAACATGTATTACAACCATTGTTCTTGGTATCTTATTAAAAAATTGTTATGAAAAAAGATCTTCCCGTATAATCTCCTACTTTGTAGCTCCAAAAAGTTTTTTCCACTAAGGGCTTTAGTAAAATATTCATATTTTTGTACTTACTCAAAGAACAAAGGCCTTGCGACAGTTTCTCCCATCATATGGCTTTTATGAAACAGTGTATATAAATATGGTAACAAAGAATATCTGATCATGTATGCCGTCTTTGTTGATTCTATGAGGTCCTGACTGAACGAAGCTGGATCCTGAGGCTGCAATATATAAACAAATATAGTTTATATGGTAAACCAAATATCTTTTAATACTGGTGCTCCTTGTTTATTTTTTAACACCATTTTCTACATAAGAAAATGCATGTACCAAGTCAGGAATATGACAGTTGTTATCCATTTGTTTATTGTGTTTGAGCTTTTGATTATGCCAAAAATTGTTTAGGGACTTTCCGTTTAGAATTTTCCTCGGAGTTCGGTAGTTTTGTTATTTTACTTTTTACTGGTGCTCCTTGTATATTTTTTTCTTGATGTCAAAAAAATTCTTAAATTCAGGGCACATAACAATCTTTTCCTCAAACTTGATTTCCTAGAATAATGTCATGAACTATTCAGAAACCAAGTTGCTAGCAGCAATGTACAGGTTTAAAATAAAGTTTTTTACTCTTATGATGTATGATCTAAATAGGCAACGTGATTTCCTAGAATAATGTCATGAACTGTGCAGAAACCAAGTTGCTAGCAGCAATGTACAGGTTTAAAATAAAGTTTTTTACTCTTATGATGTATGATCTAAATAGGCAACGTGATTTCCTAGAATAATGTCATGAACTGTTCAGAAACCAAGTTGCTAGCAGCAATGTACAGGTTTAAAAAAAAAAGTTTTTTACTCTTATGATGTATGATATAGATAGACAACGTGATTTCCTAGAATAATGTCATGAACTGTGCAGAAACCAAGTTGCTAGCAGCAATGTACAGGTTTAAAATAAAGTTTTTTACTCTTATGATGTATGATATAGATAGACAACGTGATTTCCTAGAATAATGTCATGAACTGTGCAGAAACCAAGTTGCTAGCAGCAATGTACAGGTTTAAAATAAAGTTTTTTACTCTTATGATGTATGATCTAGATAGACAACTTGATTTCCTAGAATAATGTCATGAACTGTTCAGAAACCAAGTTGCTAGCAGCAATGTACAGGTTTAAAAAAAAAAGTTTTTTACTCTTATGATGTATGATATAGATAGACAACGTGATTTCCTAGAATAATGTCATGAACTGTGCAGAAACCAAGTTGCTAGCAGCAATGTACAGGTTTAAAATAAAGTTTTTTACTCTTTTGATGTATGATCTAAATCATTTTGTAAATAGGCAACGTGATTTCCTAGAATAATGTCATGAACTGTGCAGAAACCAGTTGTGGGCAGCAATGTGCAGATTAAAAAAAAAAGTTTTTTACTCTTATGATGTATGATCTAGATAGACAACTTGATTTCCTAGAATAATGTCATGAACTGTGCAGAAACCAAGTTGCTAGCAGCAATGTACAGGTTTAAAATAAAGTTTTTTACTCTTATGATGTATGATCTAAATAGGCAACGTGATTTCCTAGAATAATGTCATGAACTGTGAAGAAACCAAGTTGCTAGCAGCAATGTACAGGTTTAAAATAAAGTTTTTTACTCTTATGATGTATGATCTAAATAGGCAACGTGATTTCCTAGAATAATGTCATGAACTGTGCAGAAACCAAGTTGCTAGCAGCAATGTACAGGTTTAAAATAAAGTTTTTTACTCTTATGATGTATGATCTAAATAGGTAACGTGATTTCCTAGAATAATGTCATGAACTGTGCAGAAACCAAGTTGCTAGCAGCAATGTACAGGTTTAAAATAAAGTTTTTTACTCTTATGATGTATGATCTAAATAGGCAACGTGATTTCCTAGAATAATGTCATGAACTGTGCAGAAACCAAGTTGCTAGCAGCAATGTACAGGTTTAAAATAAAGTTTTTTACTCTTATGATGTATGATCTAAATAGGCAACGTGATTTCCTAGAATAATGTCATGAACTGTGCAGAAACCAAGTTGCTAGCAGCAATGTACAGGTTTAAAATAAAGTTTTTTACTCTTATGATGTATGATCTAAATAGGCAACGTGATTTCCTAGAATAATGTCATGAACTGTGCAGAAACCAAGTTGCTAGCAGCAATGTACAGGTTTAAAATAAAGTTTTTTACTCTTATGATGTATGATCTAAATAGGCAACGTGATTTCCTAGAATAATGTCATGAACTGTGCAGAAACCAAGTTGCTAGCAGCAATGTACAGGTTTAAAATAAAGTTTTTTACTCTTATGATGTATGATCTAAATAGGCAACGTGATTTCCTAGAATAATGTCATGAACTGTGCAGAAACCAAGTTGCTAGCAGCAATGTACAGGTTTAAAATAAAGTTTTTTACTCTTATGATGTATGATCTAAATAGGCAAAGGATGAGGTTTGTACACACATAAAAGAGGCGGTTCATGTCTGTCATATTTGTTTTACTTAAAATGTTTTATCATAAATTAGTCTGTTAGTTTTCACAATTGAATTGTTTCCTATTTTTCATGTCTGGGCCTTTTATAGCTGACTAAGATTTCTTATTGTTGAAGGCAGTCTGGTGGCCTATAATTGTTTATATTCACTTTATTTGAACTTTGGTGGATAGTTGTCTCATTGGGAATCATACAACATGATCGTAGTTTTTATATTAACACAACAACATTGTGTGCCACCACTGATTTTCCCCTATTAGTCTTTGTTAAATTTGCACGTACTTTCAAAAAATTGTGCAGAATTTAACTTTGTTTCAAAGTAAGAAATACTTGGCATGAGTAAAGTTTTATCCTGGCCATTACTATAGACAAAATTTCACATAACATTTCATTGCCTATAAGATAATAACCATCACTGGAAGTTAACCAATCAAATTTTCACCCCTTTTTTTCCTGTGTACAAGCTTTAGTAACCATCCAAAGTGTCCAAAATATTCTATGGAAACACCAAATAAAAAAAAAGTGGTGCTTTGAAACACCCAAGATATATTTTTATGTCTTATATATGTTTTTACTGCAATGAAATGTAGGATTAATTTCCTACAACTGTCAAATTCAAGGGAATATTTTTTTTTCAACGCTTTTTTCGTACGTTATCTGATGTGACGTACTATTAGAGACAATATTATGAAGTATATTCTCTTGAACAATCTTTTTACAAGTAGTCAATATGGCTTCCACCCAGGTACATCATGTGTTACTCAACTCCTGGAGGTTTTGGATGAGGGGTCAGAATTAATTGATAGTGGTTTTCCACTGGATTCTATTTAACTTGATTTTTCTAAGGCATTTGATACTGTGCCGCATCAGCGTTTATTTTTGAAACTTGAAAAACTTGGAATGAAGGGCTGCATTTTGAATTGGATAAAAAGTTTTCTATCCGAGCGTAAGCAATGTGTTCGTTTAAATAATACAAATTCAGCATGGTCAGATGTTGTGAGTGGTGTACCTCAGGGAAGTGTTAAAATTTAATGCTGCTAAATGTAAAGTATTATATATTAATCCTGACAATGACCAACAATATCGTTCTGCCATGTTAGACGATTCAGAAAATTCTATTGCTTTATCTAAAGTGAATGCAGAAAAGGATCTTGGAGTAACCTTCGAGTCAAATTTAAAGTTCGAATATAAGTAATATTGTTAATAAAGCACAGAGAGTTTTATCTCTACTTCATCATTCCTTTGACTACATGGATCAGGATATGTTTCTTACTCTTTAGAGGTATTCCCGTAACAGTGTGGACAAGCGTAGTACTTTTGTTGTTAATAATACTGAATCATTTACCTTCAACTTGTTTGTCATCGGCTATCCATAACAAAGATTTTACGCTCACTCAGTCCGTCAGAGAGGCCTTCCAATAGGGATTTAAATAATCGATACATTAAATGAAACTCTTTCCGCAAAACTTTAAAGGAATTTGTTTGAAATATTTTTTATATCAGAACACACAACAGTTTCATTTTAGAGAATAATAAATGTTCAGAGCTAATATCATTAGATAATGGAAAAATACATTTACACATTTGGTTTTCATTGAAAAAACTTTAAGTCAATGGGGTTAATTCACAAAATATCTTAAGAGAAAAAATACTCCCACGTTGTGATCATTTAAGAGTAACCTACCATTTATTCAATGCATAGGATTTTTTGGTGAAATGAGTTCCAAAGATGAAAAAAAAATATCCTTTTTTTAACAGGATATTTTTCACATGGATCATCGTTTGAATCATTCAGTCATACAGAGATCTCATATGATTAGTTTGCCTTTGATATTCCACACAACTCAATTGCCTCTACTTATGTATATATCTATATGTATATCTAATTAATTAAAAGACTTTTCTGTTTGTAAATTTGCTTTTATGTAAAGCGGAAACTGTTACGCTTGTGTGTGATCCTTTTTGTCTCTTTGACCAAAGATAGTTAGTCATAAACTAAATTGCAGTACTTGTCGATATATCATTCTTGTATCTCACAAATGTGGGTCTTTTATTTATAATTCCACCTTATGTAATAATGCTGTATTTTGATTGGATGAGAGAAATGGTATTTTTCACAAATATTCTATATATTGAGATTTTCTTTTCTCTGCCAGTGTATTTGTCATTAGGGAAGTCTATGTGCCGGGGAATTTGCTAGCAAATACCACGGCAGATAGGAAATACCATTTCTAAAAATAACCCGACTTCCTAAGACCTCTAGACTTTTCATTGAGATGGATACAAAGAACATTCGGTGGAATTAAACAATCATACTATGCTTACAAGGGGTATTTGCCAAAAATACTGGTTGAGAGGTAAGCAAATTTCCAGAGCCTAACGGCTCTACAGCTCTTGGAAACATTGCTTACCTCTCAACTGGTTTTTTTGGCAATCAGCCCTTGTAAGCATGATATATTTGTATACAAAACTTATTTTCTTGTAACGTATTTTATTGTTGAAGAATGAATGTTGCCCGTTTTTTAAAAAATTTTTGTAGTTTGTTTGTGTCTCAATGACATACAACCGGATCCCCTTTTCTTCATATTTAAGAACATACGAGATGACATCAATACCAATTCATGACACAAAATAACTGAGTTAAACTAACAGCAGAAGGAAGAAAAGGAAAAGCGCTTTCACGGCTGTACTGTCACAATCTGGTCTTTGAAAAAAATGTTGTAAATAAAAAAAAAAAAAAAACAAAACCAAAATTTTGAATGTTTATATTGGAAAAAGTAAAGTTGTGTAAGTTATAACAATTATTTCAATTTCAATCTATATTAAGCTGTTGCTTTTTTCCGCTTCGAGCAAATTTTGACCAAATTTTAAAAATTAATTTCTTGCATGATACATATATTATATGCACATTTTCATTGCGATCTTAAAAAGGACGAAGTTGATATATTAACTGTCGTCAATTATTGTGTGTGTGTAAGTTGGGCCGTTTAAAAAAATATTAAAAAAAATGAATTGATTCTAAAAAAAAAGGAAAGGAAAAAAAATACTTTGTTTCAGAAAAAAGAGGAAAAAAAACTAATTGATTTACATTCAAAATTAGGGACGAAAAAAAAATATGACACTCAGATTTAAAAAGTAATGTTCATGTATGTGCATGAGAAAAAAAGAAAAAAACAATCCCCCGGTCACAAAAAACACACACACACACAAACACACACACTCAGAAAAGGAAGAATAGTCGGTGCATAATTATTCTGCTACCAAGGGTTTTTCACAAGTATAGTAGTTAGCAGAAAAGTCCCAGTTTCCAAAATACACCAAACTATACATTTTACATACTAGTATTTCGTGAAGTAAAATGCAAATTTCTCAAGGCTTGGTCCAAATAGCTTTTTTCTGTCCAATATCATGCAAGTACGAAAAAGACCGTACGAAAGTATATTTTGTCTATGATTTGTAATTGCAAAACTATTGAAAGTTGATCATGCATTTGTTCTAAAATAAAATTTTACACAAGATAAAAGTTAAAAGATACTAAGTGAAAAAAATTAGACAACTGCAATGGGTTAATCCCTTTAACGTCCAAAAAATATAATAGCCAACACATACATTGTAAGTTTTAAAGCTAGTTAAATGAATTTTTATGTTTAAAGAACGTGCGATATCATAAAAATTGTTTATCAAAACATAACAAAAACACAAGTAAAGAATGTTTAAGTATTCAATATTAATCAAAACACAAAGGTTATTCCTGTACTAATATTTTGAATTATTTGATTTAGGCGTTGAGAACCTTTTGTGACCCCACAGTTTAAATGTCTATAATAAATATGACATGATAAGTGGGCGTTACAGACAAATGTTCACCAAATTTAACCCAGTCAATGGGGAGACTTGAGTGCGCCAAAAAATGGTCTCGTCCACACTGTTATCAAAACGATACTATAAGTCAATTGTTTGTCCACTGTTGGAATATGCTATATGTGTTTGGTCTCCGAACCTTAAAAAAGATATTCGTAAATTGGAGTCTGTCCAAAGAAGGGCCACTAAACTCAAGAATATAAGTCATTTAATTTATAAAGATTAATTACATTCATAGGGATTGCCAACCTTGGAGTATCAGTATTAGATGGTCCTTGTAAACCAGAGGCCTAAGATACTACACAAGTGCAAGTTGCATCAGTTTCAGGAAGTCCGTGTAAACAAGAGGCCCATGATAATACTTACATGTATGTGGCAGCAGTTTAAGTTAATCCGTATAAACCAGAGGCCCATGATAATATTTACATGTAAGTGGCAGCAGTTTAAGTTAATCTGTATAAACCATTTTTAAGTTATTAATATTTGCCTTCAGTCCAACTGAGTTATGGCTCCTGGAGAAAGGATAAAATGCTCCTAACTGGTACCATCGCTGACAAAGATCTTCTGTAGTATCCAGTTGAAATCCACAAATATCAGCTCCAATCATTGATATACCAAACATGTTAAAGTTCAACAGCTCTAAAATTTAAACACTCCAATCATTGATATACCAAACATGTTAAAGTTCAACAGCTCTAAAATTTAAACACTCCAATCATTGATATACCAAACATGTTAAAGTTCAACAGCTCTAAAATTTAAACACTCCAATCATTGATATACCAAACATGTTAAAGTTCAACAGCTCTAAAATTTAAACACTCCAATCATTGATATACCAAACATGTTAAAGTTCAACAGCTCTTAAATTTAAACACTCCAATCATTGATATACCAAACATGTTAAAGTTCAACAGCTCTAAAATTTAAACACTCCAATCATTGATATACCAAACATGTTAAAGTTCAACAGCTCTAAAATTTAAACACTCCAATCATTGATATACCAAACATGTTAAAGTTCAACAGCTCTTAAATTTAAACACTCCAATCATTGATATACCAAACATGTTAAAGTTCAACAGCTCTAAAATTTAAACACTCCAATCATTGATATACCAAACATGTTAAAGTTCAACAGCTCTATAAATTAAACACTCCAATCATTGATATACCAAACATGTTAAAGTTCAACAGCTCTATAAATTAAACACTCCAATCATTGATATACCGAACATGTTAAAGTTTAACATCTCTATAAATTAAACACTCCAATCATTGATATACCAAACATGTTAAAGATTAGCATCTCTAAAAATTAAACACTCCAATCATTGATATAACAAATATATTAAAGGTTTAGCATCTCTAAAAACCAAATATGATAAATTTGAAAATCAAAAAAAATTATTTGAAGCACTCCAATCATCCATTTACCAAACTTAATTAAAGTCCACCATCTTTAAAAAATTTGAACACTCCTAACATTGATCTACACAATCTGTTAAATTTTAATTACCATCTATAAAATATAAAATCCAATCAAAAATATTTCTGAAATAACAAAATGCTTCAATCTAATATTGATATATCAGGCATTCTAAAGTTTGAAATCTTTAAAAATTGTTTTAAAAAGGCTCTAATCATCGTTTGATACCAAACATTTAAAAAAACATAAAGACCCTCCAATTATTGACACAAGCAAGAAACATTTAAAAGTTCAACATCTCTTAAATGCTCCAATCATTTATATATAAAAAAGTTTTAAAACTGAAATTGATATATCTTGAACATGTCCAAGGCCAATATATCTATGAAAAAAAGCCATCTTACACGCTATTTATTTTAGGATTTTTGATTTTAAACATATCATTTAACCAAACATGTATATTATTGTATATTTATAGAACTGTACTCTGTCTCTAGTTATAACCTTGGATGGTAATATATTACCTGGGATAGACATTGCCATGTCATGAAACGTAGCAAAATTATCTCCTGACCAGTGTCCACCATAATAACCTTGACCAGCATATGTTGACCTTGAGATGATAAATGGTCTTTTATTTCTGACAGTCTTCAGTGCCCTGTAAATTATAGCATAAAATATAAATGGTATATTTTTTTCTTATTTTCTCCAAGATACAATGGATTAATGAAATATTAAAACAATATGTATAGTCTTTTGTTCCCATGCATCAGTCATAACAACACTAATAGAGCTGTAAGCAGAATTTCATACCCCTGATATTCCATTTGACTAGATTAGCAAAGTCAATATTTTGCCATGGGAGACCCCTAAAACCATTATAATAAAAAAATAAAGTTAGTGCACAATGGCGTTATGTAAGAAAAATTCTTTGAAAGATTCATTAAAATCGCATCAGTGGTTTAAGAGGAGTAGCAAATATAAGATGCCTACCCCTATCACATATATGGCATTCAATATTTTGCAATAAGAAACCCTTGAAATCATTTTGATTTAAAAAAAAAAAGAAAATAAGAGAGCTTAATTGAACAAATATATAAAGTTTTATTGAAAGTATCAAAAACAACAAATAAGTATGGAATAATGTCTTCCTTGTGAACCAGAGGCCCATCATGATACTTAACAAACATGTAAGTGGCAGCAGTTTAAGTTAATACGTATAAACCAGAGGCCCATGATAATACTTAAGCAACATGTAAGTGGCATCAATTTAAGTTAATCAGTATAAACCAGAGGCCAATGATGATAATTTACCAACATGTTAGTGGCATCAGTTTAAGTTAATCCGTATAAACCAGAGGCCCATGATAATATTTACATGTAAGTGGCAGCAGTTTAAGTTAATCTGTATAAACCAGAGGCCCATGATAATACTTAACCAACATGTAAGTGGCATCAGTTTAAGTTAATCCGTATAAACCAGAGGCCCATGATAATATTTACATGTAAGTGGCAGCAGTTTAAGTTAATCTGTATAAACCAGAGGCCCATGATAATACTTAACCAACATGTAAGTGGCATCAGTTTAAGTTAATCCGTATAAACCAGAGGCCCATGATAATATTTACATGAAAGTGGCAGCAGTTTAAGTTAATCCATATAAACCAGAGGCCCATGATAATAATAACACTTGCAAGTGGCCTCACTCTTAGTAAGTCCTTGTAATCCAAAGTTCTATAATATTTATGTGTCAGTGGCATCAGTATTAGATGGTCCTTGTAAACCAGAGGCCTAAGATACTACTTAAGTGCAAGTTGCATCAGTTTCAGGAAGTCCGTATAAACAAGAGGCCCATGATAATACTTACATGTATGTGGCAGCAGTTTAAGTTAATCCGTATAAACCAGAGGCCCATGATAATATTTACATGTAAGTGGCAGCAGTTTAAGTTAATCTGTATAAACCAGAGACCCATGATAATACTTAACCAACATGTAAGTGGCCTCTGTTTTCAGTTAATCCATATAAACCAGAGGCCCATGATAATATTTACATGTAAGTGGCAGCAGTTTAAGTTAATCTGTATAAACCAGAGGCCCATGATAATAATCACACCTGCAAGTGCCTCACTCTTAGTAAACCAAAGTTCTATAATATTTGTGTCAGTGGCATCAGTATTAGATGGTCCTTGTAAACCAGAGGCCTAAGATACTACTTAAGTGCCAGTTGCATCAGTTTCAGGAAGTCCATGTAAACCAGAGGTCCATGATAATACTTACAAGTAAGTGGCCTCTGTTTCAGTAAGTCCTTGTAAACTAAAGGCCCATGATAGTACTTACATATAAGTGGCAACAGTCTCAGTAAGTCCCTGTAAACCAGAGGCCCATGATAATACTTACATGTAGGTGGCATCAGTTTCAGTAAGTCCATGTAAACCAAAGGTCCATGATAATACTTACATGTAAGTGGCCTCTGTTTTCAGTAAGTCCTTATAACTAAAGGCCCATGATAAAACTTACATGTAAGTGGCCTCAGTTTCAGTAAGTCCATACAGATTATGTACATTGTATGATATAGATAAGTTCTGTTGTGACGTGGCACAAATTGTAGAAAACCTCAGACTTCCTCCTGCAACATCTGTTAAAATAAGTATGTATATAGTGAAATAGAGCTTGAACGATTTTAATGTATTGGCTAATAAGATATCAAAAACCTTTATCATAATCAAAGTTGTTATCTTAATGGTATTTTCTGGGATCTGTGAATTAACAGATATATTTGTGGTAACTCATACTTATAAAGTTCAGTCTTTTAAACATCCCTTTAAAAAGTAAAATAACAAAAATAAGGAACTCAAAGGAAAATTCAAATGAAAAGTTCTTTAACAAATGGCAAAATCAAAGTTCAAAACACATCAAACGGATGGAAACAACTGTCATATTTCTGCACAGGCATTTCCTTATGTAGAAACTGGTTGACTAAACCTGTTTTTATAGCCAGCTAAACCTCTCACTTGTATGGCAGTTGCATAAAATTCCATTTAAAGGACACAGAGTCTGTACCACAATATTTACAAGGACCATGATTAAATTCTAGATTGGTCCATCAATTACCTTTTGCAAAAGTTTATTCATTCATAAAAACCTATTTTCTTTATAAAAAAGAAGATGTTGCCAATGAGACAACTCTCCACAAGAGAGCAAATGACACAGAAATTAACAGCTATAGGTTACCATACGGCCTTCAACAATGAGCAAAGCCAATACCACATAGTCAGCTATAAAAGGCCCCGAAATCACAAAAGTAAAACAATTCAAACGCGAAAACTAACGGCCTAATTAATGTACAAAAAAATTAACGTCTTTGTTTGTTATTAAAAAATGTATGTGATGTTCTTTATATTTTGCTTGATAATATGCATATTTTCATATCTGATAAACCATAAAATTTACAAAATATGGCAATTCATTCAGTGTAGCAACAGTACCTTCCTTGTTCTACAAGATGTATCACACATATGGTAAATCTATAACATAAGTTAGTAATGTCACTATGCCACATAAAACCTAATTTGAAATATATCAGATAGAAAGGCTTGCCAAGATGCACATACATAAACAGTTTAAAGTTATAGGTAAAAGTCATCATAGATACTCTGTTTATAAATTTAGTACACTAGACAGTCCTTTTTCTAAATTTTTTAGTGGTTAAAACAATTGCCTCCTAACTAAAAGAGGGACGAAAGATACCAGAGGGCGTTCATACTCATAAATCGAAAATAAACTGACAACGCCATGGCTAAAGAAGAAAAAGACAAACAGACAAACAATAGTATAGACACAACATAGAAAAATAAAGACTAAGCAACACGAACCCCATGGAAAACTGCAAATGGAAAGCTTTCAATTGCAACACTTCCTGACTTTTTTTTTTATTAAACAAGCTATTTTGTCAAAACATGGAGTACTTTCAATTTTGTAAATGATACTTTCTTTTATGAGCTGTATAAAAAAGTTTGTAATTGATCAATAAAATAATAGTCTTAAACATTTGTTTTTCAAGAACAGAATTTTTTGTGTGGGAAAATTCAAAGAACCAAAAATTAAAACTATTATAGTCTTATCATGGAGGATATTATGTGGAATTCTAAGGGCAACTGTCAATTTATGTTCTATGAAATTCTTAAATTCATACCAGGGACATATGGAGGATCCTCCATGCAATTCTTAGGACTTAAGTTTATAAATTGCAACCTGGGACATGTGGAGGATCTTCTATGAAATTCTTAGGACAACTCCTAATAGATCCTTCCCTGGGACATGTGAAGGATCTTCGATGGAATTCTTAGGAAAACGTTTAAAAGATCCTTACCTGAGATATATAGAGGATCTTCTATGGAATATTTAGGACAACTCTTAATAGATACTTACCTGGGACATATGGAGGATCTTCTATGGAATTTTTAGGACAACTCTTAATAGATACTTACCTGAGACATATGAAGGATCTTTTATGGAATTCTAAGAACAACTGTTAATAGATACTTACCTGGAACATATGGTTGATCTTCTATGGAATTCTTAGGACAACTGTTAATAGATACGTACCTGAAACATATGGAGGATCTTCTATGGAATTCTTAGGACAACTGTTAATAGATACTTACCTTGGGTGTATGGAGAATTGTTTATGGAATTCTTAGAACAACTGTTAATAGATCCTGTCCTGGGACATATAAAGGATTTTCTATGGAATTCTTATGACAACTGTTAATAGATATTTACCTGGGACATATGGAGAATCTTTTATGGAATTCTTTGAACAACTGTTAATAGATACTTACCTGGGACATATGGAGGATTTTCTATGGAATTCTAATGACAAATGTTAATAGATACTTACCTGGAACATATGGAAGATCTTCTATGGAATTCTTAGGACTACTGTTAATAGATACTTACCTGGGACATATGGAGGATCTTCTATGGAATTCTTAGGACAACTGTTAATAGATACTTACCTGAGACATATAGAGGATCTTCTATGGAATTCTTAGGACAACTGTTAATATATCCATACCTTGATCATATGGAGGATCTTCTATGGAATTCTTAGGACAACTGTTAATATATCCTTACCTTGATCATATGGAGGATCTTCTATGGAATTCTTAGGACAACTGTTAATAGATACTTACCTGGGACATATGGTGGATCTTCTATGGAATTCTTAGGACAACTGTAAATAGATCCTTACCTGGGACATATGGAGGATCTTCTATGGAATTCTTAGGACAACTGTTAATATATCCTTACCTTGATCATATGGAGGATCTTCTATGGAATTCTTAGGACAACTGTTAATAGATCCTTACCTTGATCATATGGAGGATCTTCTATGGAATTCTAAGGACAACTGTAAATAGATCCTTACCTGGGACATATGGAGGATCTTCTATGGAATTCTTAGGACAACTGTTAATAGATCCTTACCTGGGACATATATAGGACCTTCTATGGAATTCTAAGGACAACTGTTAATAGATCCTTACCTGGGACGATCCTTACCTTGAACATATGGAGGATCTTCTATGGAATTCTTAGGACAACTGTTAATAGATACTTATCTGGGACATATTGAGGATCTTCTATGGAATTCTTAGGACAACTGTTAATAGATCCTTACCTTGAACATATGGAGGATATTCTATGGAATTCTTAGGACAACTGTTAATAGATACTTACCTAGGACATATGGGGATCTTCAATGGAAATTTTAGGAAAACTGTTAATAGATCCTTATCTTGAACATATGGAGGATCTTCTATGGAATTCTTAGGACAACTGTTAATAGATACTTACCTGAGCATATGGAGGATCTTCTATGGAATTCTTAGGACAACTGTTAATATATCCTTACCTTGATCATATGGAGGATCTTCTATGGAATTCTTAGGACAACTGGTAATAGATACTTACCTGGGACATATGGAGGATCCTCTATGGAATTCTTAGGACAACTGTTAATAGATCCTTACCTGGGACATATGGAGGATCTTCTATGGAATTCTTAGGACAACTGTTAATAGATACTTACCTGGGGCAAATGGAGGATCTTCTATGGAATTCTAAGGACAACTATTAATAGATCCTTACCTGGGACATATTGAGGATCTTCCATGGAATTCTTAGGACAACTGTTAACAGATCCTTACCTGGGACATATGGATGATCTTCAATGGAATTCTAAGGACAACTGTTAATAGATCCTTACCTGGGACATATGGATGATCCCTTAATGGAATTCTAAGGACAAATGTTAATAGATCCTTACCTGGACATATGGAAGATCTACTATGGAATTCTCAGAACAAGTGTTAATAGATCCTTACCTGAGACATATGGACGATCTTCTATGGAATTCTTAGGACAACTGTTAATAGATACTTACCTGGGATATATGGATGATCTTCTCTAGAATTCTTAGGACAACTGTTTATAGATCCTTACCTGAGACATATGGAGGATCTTCTATGGAATTCTTAGGACAACTGATAATATATCCTTACCTGGGGCATATGGAGGACCTTCTATGGAATTCTAAGGACAACTGTTAATAGATCCTTACCTGGGACATATGGAGGATCTTCTATGGAATTTTTAGGACAACTGTTAATAGATCCTTACCTTGAACATATGGAGGATCTTTTATGGAATTCTTAGGACAACTGTTAATAGATCCTTACCTGGGACATATGGAGGATCTTCTATGGAATTCTTAGGACAACTGTTAATAGATCCTGCTACAAAATTGGAGATCTCATTCATGTCCTGAAATATTGCATATTTTTATTGAAATGGTTAAATAAATAAAATTATATAAAAGAAAATATCAAAATTAAAAAAAAAATGTATTTTATATTAATTTTATATAAAGAAAGAAAAAAATCCATTATAAGAAAATAAACTACATTTTAATGGTGGTTAGGTAATTTCAAAATTGTTCTTTTTAAAATAAACTGGGACAGCTTAAGTTATTCAATACTAGTTCATAGTTCAACTTTTAGATATTATCCTTTTGACTTTTCATAAATATATCTTTTGCTTAATATTACAGATCATATGAATTGCTATACATAATGATATCAAATATTAATGAAATCATTGCAGAGATATAAAGGTGTTGCAATTGGTGCATATGAAATACTTAAAGTATATACTGTAAATTCAGAAATTAATGTGTGCATTCATTGGTGCGATTTTGTCATTTTGGACTTAAAGCGATTTTTAATTTTTGCAATAATAAAAAAAATCCTGTTTAATTCACATAAAAAATTTCAAAATGCCAGTGTAAATTATAGCAATTATAATCATGTCTTATTTTTTGCAATGACATTGCAATAATTTCTGAATTTACAGTATATATTATGAGTGTTTTTTTTGGGGGGGGTATTTCTTTAAAACATGACAGCAGGATACAGATTTCCTTTTATCCTTTTCAGTTAAAGAGTTGGAAAACAGTCATTAACTGTTTGAACCCTAGAGATATAAATGACAGCAAGAAAGTGATAATGTCTTTCCTTCCCAAGGGTATCACCGGCCCAATAGTCAATATTTCTGAGTTGACATCAATTTTCATTAAATATTAATATGGTCATAATTACAAATTAACTGTTACAAAATTTTGACTTTTTTTTTTAAATACTAAGGATTTCTACTCCAGGATTAGATTACCTTAATTGGTTGACCATTATGGATATCTGTTTCACAGATGATAGCAGATATGTTCCTAATGTTGTAACTACAATCCTGTCCCCTTTTCACCAATGTTACCTACTGAATTAGACTTGTTACTGGTTTTGTACTAACGACTGGTGCTTACCCTTCCAAAACACCTGAGATCAACTCCAGTTTTTGGTGGGGTTCTTGTTTCTTATTCTTTAGTTTTCTATGTTGTGTTTTGTGTTCTACTGTTTGTCTGTTGGTTTTTTTCTTTTTTAGCCATGGCATTTTCAGTTTATTTTCAACTTATGAGTTTGAATGTCACTCTGGTATTTTTAGCCTCTCTTTTAGCTGTATTTAACAAAATCTTTTGGAACTTTGGGTCCCCAATACTCTTTTTCTATACACTTTATAAAATCTCTTTATCTTTTTTGATTTGAGCGGCACTGATGAGTATTTTGTAGACAAAACATATGACTGGCGTATAAAATGTTATTCCTGGTATCGGTTTACTTTTTTCACATATAAATGTCATGTGATATCATTTCATTACTTACAATCATAAATGTCATGTGACATCATTACTTACAATCCACATATAAATGTCATGTGACATCATTACATATCAATGTCATGTGACATCATTACATATCAATGTCATGTGACATCATTACTTACAATCCACATATAAATGCCATGTGACATCATTACATATCAATGTCATGTGACATCATTACTTACAATCCACATTCCATCAAACTGTACTTTGTCATGGAAACTCTTTACAAGCTGTGTCCAGTAATCAAATGTTCTGTTGTTTGTGAAGTCTGGAAAAACTACATCACCTGGCCACACCTGTAACAGTGTAATGATAGAATTACTTGAAGTCTGGGTAGACTACATCACCTGGCCACACCTGTAATAATGTAATGATAGAATTACTTGAAGTCTGGGAAGACTACATCACCTGGCCACACCTGTAACAATGTAATGATATAATTACTTGAAGTCTGGGAAGACTACATCACCTGGCCACACCTGTAACAATGTAATGATAGAATTACTTGAAATCTAGGACAACTACATCCCCTACCAAACACCTGTAACAGTGTAATGATATAATTACTTGAAGTCTGGGAAGACTACATCACCTGGCCACACCTGTAACAATGTAATGATAGAATTACTTGAAATCTAGGACAACTACATCCCCTACCAAACACCTGTAACAGTGTAATGATATAATTACTTGAAGTCTGGGAAGACTACATCACCTGGCCATACCTGTAACAATGTAATGATAGAATTACTTGAAATCTGGGAAGACTACATCACCTGGCCATACCTGTAACAATGTAATGATATAATTACTTGAAGTCTGGGAAGACTACATCACCTGGCCATACCTGTAACAATGTAATGATATAATTACTTGAAAACTGGGAAGACTACATCACCTGGCCACACCTGTAACAATGTAATGATAGAATTGCTTGAAGTCTGAGAAGACTACATCACCTGGCCATACCTGTAACAATGTAATGATATAATTACTTGAAGTCTGGGAAGACTACATCACCTGGCTATACCTGTAACAATGTAATGATATAATTACTTGAAGTCTGGGAAGACTACATCACCTGGCCATACCTGTAACAATGTAATGATAGAATTACTTGAAGTCTGGGAAGACTACATCACCTGGCCATACCTGTAACAATGTAATGATATAATTACTTGAAGTCTGGGAAGACTACATCACCTGGCCATACCTGTATTAATGTAATGATAGAATTACTTGAAGTCTGGTAAGACTACATCACCTGGCCACACCTGTAACAATGTAATGATATAATTACTTGAAGTCTGGGAAGACTACATCACCTGGCCACACCTGTAACAATGTAATGATATAATTACTTGAAATCTGGGAAGACTACATCACCTGGCCACACCTGTAACAATGTAATGATATAATTACTTGAAGTCTGGGAAGACTACATCACCTGGCCACACCTGTAACAATGTAATGATATAATTACTTGAAGTCTGGGAAGACTACATCACGTGGCCACACCTGTAACAATGTAATGATATAATTACTTGAAGTCTGGGAAGACTACATCACCTGGCCATACCTGTAACAATGTAATGATAGAATTACTTGAAGTCTGGGAAGACTACATCACCTGGCCATACCTGTATTAATGTAATGATAGAATTACTTGAAGTCTGGGAAGACTACATCACCTGGCCACACCTGTAACAATGTAATGATATAATTACTTGAAGTCTGGGAAGACTACATCACCTGGCCACACATGTAACAATGTAATGATATAATTACTTGAAATCTGGGAAGACTACATCACCTGGCCACACCTGTAACAATGTAATGATATAATTACTTGAAGTCTGGGAAGACTACATCACCTGGCCACACCTGTAACAATGTAATGATATAATTACTTGAAGTCTGGGAAGACTACATCACCTGGCCACACCTGTAACAATGTAATGATATAATTACTTGAAGTCTGGGAAGACTACATCACCTGGCCACACCTGTAACAATGTAATGGGTATAATTACTTGAAGTCTGGGAAGACTACATCACCTGGCCATACCTGTAACAATGTAATGATAGAGTTCCTTTTTTTATGGGACAGACAACAAATGGAAACAGACAGATGTAAAACAATATACCCCAATCCTCTCTTCCTTTGGAGCAGGATATAAATATTTCAAGATTCAAATATCCTTTTCAATATAAACAATATTACCAATAAATATTTGGATGCAATTTCCTATTTTTATCCTCTTTCAATGGTTAAATAGCTAAAGTTTCAAACCAACTCTGTATTAACCTTTAGTGATATATAGTTATTGAATAACAGAATGCATAATATTGTGACTTTACAATTTAGTCTTAATCTGGACATTGTCTGCTCTATGGTCGGGTTGTTGTCTCTTTGACACATTCCCCATTTCCATTCTCAATTTTATTAATACTAGTAATGTATTTTACTTTTGTGTAGCAAGAAGAGAAGAAGGTACTTCTACTTAACAAAATACCATTCTAACCATTTGGAAGGTCTAGTCACTTGAAATCAACAACAAGAGACACAATTTGATATACTTTTATTTGTAATTTATAACTCTTTTAAAATTTAAGATTATATATATTGCTTAGTTTTTCAAGAATTGAGAAGGTCTGTGATACAGGTGATGATGTCATGTCTCCATACACAAGTATATCTTCCCAAGAAGCTTTCAATTAACAGAAAATCAAGCATTTCCCTATCTTAAGGGCATATGATACAGTTACAGGGGAGGTAATGAGGTTGCTAATGCAAAATTGTATTTTTCACGATTTCAAACTGTGACACATTGGGAAATAGATGCATTTTTCTAACTGATTTTAGTCAGTAGCTTGAAAACAGGTACATGGACCCCTCTTTTTTAAATGGTATTCAGCATGATAATATATGAAGATTATTTGTACCAATTTTTTCGACAAAATAACAGATGATTTGTTTTTGGAGTGCAATAAATTTACAACAAAAATGCTGTTGTTTTTTTTTCTCTTTCTAAAATCCAGAATATTTAATAAAAAAAAAATATTCTGAAAGAATTGTTGCATAGTTTAAAATTAACATAGCTATGTAGATAAGAAATTCAAAATGTGATGACAAGAATCCACTTGGTTTTTTTTTTACATATTTGAATTTACTGGGTAAAAAATATAGCTTGTATTAAAGTTTTGCAAAAAATTCACAGTGAGATTTAAACTGTATCGCAAGCCCTTGAAGTAAAAACATTTGTCTAATGATATTAGAAGTATTTTGTTTTTATGCTCTGTTCTGTTATTGATATTAATGACAGGTGACAGTATGGTCCCCCACCAGTAGGGGTCATTTTTTACTTTACAATCTTCCTATTAATCAAATTGTCATATTTTATAGCATAGAGAAGAGTACATGCTCACATGCCTGTCTCAGTTCAAGAACATCCTCAATGGCAGTCTTAAGTTATGTTATAGTTTTGTTGTTAAGAAATTTTAATTACACATCAATAATCATCATGGTTTATTTGTGGATTATCAGCCTGACATATTGAATTTATAGACATGTTGACCTCTAGATATATTTTGGTTTTTTTATGGTTGGGTTGCTGCATTATTGAAATATACTATCTCCTTTTAAATCAAACAGAGGATTGGAACAAGGTAAAAATGGTCTAAAAAGGACAAAATGCAGAAAAGGCATTTGACATATAAAAGATTTGAAAAGTTAATAAAAAAATGAACAAAAAAACTCCTATTTTATGGCAAATATTGAAAATCAATTACAACTATACTTTAACAATTTACTTTAAATTAATCTTTAAAGGTCCAAAAGATAATCATCAATATGTGTACTAACAGGTATAATCTATGTCATTTAAATGTTTACTGGTTACATAGATCATGTATAAACATATCTTAATTAACTTCCTGGTACAGATACATTTGGGGAAAAGACACAGAAAAGAAAGTAAAATTAAATGTAAACAGATGAAGTGATATTTACTTAAATCAAGAGGTACACTTTTTATTTTTATTTTGGGTATTTGCTTGTACAACTAATACAGGGAAAGTTTTGGGAACAGACACAGACAAGAAAGTAAAATTAAATGTAATTAGATGAAGTGATATAATGATCAATTGACTCATATCAAAAAGGTACATGTTTGAAAAAAAAACCACCTTTACCATTCTATTTTGAGAAAGTAAAAACTACTGCCTTAAATGAGGCCTCATATTTGTTTTACATAATTATATACCTTCAAAATGCATAAAAGGAAAAGCCAAATATTTGAAAGCCAAGATGTATATACTGACAGAAAACGTTGAAAAGCTATAAAACAAAAGGACCTAAAAAAAATCACAAAATCCTTCTAAGGCCAAATTTGCCTGCAGGAGTTGAAATCTTAGGTTCTGTATGATTTCAAATTTTATAAACGGGCATACAATACAGAAAGTTCTATGTTGATATTTTCCTTAAAATTTGACACAAGAGTGATTTTTGATATGCATTTTCAAAATATGGAAAAAAAATTATACCTTCTGGCTTCATGTAATTTTCGAGATATTTCAGTATAGTTTGCATGTTTCTTGTACAAAAAGAAAATATTTAAATAATTAAAAAAAAAACACCTAAAAAACCTTTCAAGGTGTAAAACCACCAAATCATAGTACATCACATCCGGTTGCATACGAAAATAGGTCGAAAAAAAATATTCCCTTGAATTTGACAGTTGTATTCCAAACTAAAAGACAAATTGAAAGAGTTGGTATTACATTGTTTCATTAAAAAGAATGGCGAACGTAGATACAAGTATCTTGTCTTGGGGAGGGATAAATCCTACTTTGTAAAGAATCACTCTGATTCAAACAAAAAATTCTCTGAAACTGACATTATCAAGATGCTTGACTTCTTGATTGACAACATATTTGTTACGTTTGGAGGACGTGTTTTTCAACAGACTGTCGGAATTCCAATGGGAACCAATTGTGCCCCTCTTCTTGCCGACTTGTTTCTTTATTATTATGAGACTGACTTCATACAGGAACTTCTTAGGAAGAAAGATAAGAAGTTAGCAATATCCTTTAACTCTACATTCCGCTATATAGATGATGTTCTCTCACTAAATAATACAAAATTTGGTGACTATGTTGAACGAATCTATCCCATCGAACTAGAGATAAAGGATACTACAGATACAGTTAAGTCTGCCTCATATCTTGACTTACATCTAGAAATTGACAATGAGGGTCGGTTGAAAACAAAATTTTACTACAAAAGAGATGATTTCAGCTTCCCAATTGTGAACTTTCCATTTCTATGTAGCAACATTCCAGCAGCGCCTGCATACGGAGTATATATCTCCCAATTGATACGATATTCCCGGGCTTGTGTTTCCTATCATGATTTCCTTGATAGAGGATTGCTGCTCACAAGGAAGCTATTAAACCAAGAGTTCCAAATGGTGAAGTTAAAATCATCCCTTCGTAAATTTTACGGACGCCATCACGAATTGGTTGACCGTTATGGAATAACCGTTTCACAGATGATATCGGATATGTTCCTTATGTCGTAACTACAATACCCTTCCCTTTTCACGAATGTGACTTACCGAATTAGACTATTTACCGGATTTGTAATAACATAAGCAACACGATGGGTGCCACATGTGGAGCAGGATCTGCTTACCCTTCCGGAGCACCTGAGATCACCCCCAGTTTTTGGTGGGGTTTGTGTTGCTTAGTCTTTAGTTTTCTATGTTAAGTCATCTGTACTATTATTTGTCTGTTTGTCTTTTTATTTTTGGCCATGGCGTTGTCAGTTTGTTTTCGATCTATGAGTTTGACTGTCCCTCTGGTATCTTTCGTCCCTCTTTTGTATGTAATTAATCCTACATTTTATTGCAGTAAAACATTTCTGGGTCATAAACATATATCTTGGGTATTTCAAAGCACCATTATTTTTTTATTTTGGGTTTCTATAGAATGTTTTGGAAGCTTGAGGTTACATGCATGGATACTAAAGCTTGTACACAGGTTAAATAAGGGAGAAAATTTGATTGGTTAACTTCCAGTGATGGTTATTTTCTTATATGCAATGAAATGTTATGTGAAATTTTTTCTATAGTACTGGACAGGATAAAACTTTACTCATGCCAAGTATTTCTTTATTTGAAACAACAAAGATAAATTCTGCACAATTTTTTAAAAAGTGCAAATTTAACAAAGACTAATAGGGGAAATCAATGGTGGTATTACACCTCAAATGGAAAGAAAGTTTTTTGCACAGTGTTCCTTAATTTATAAGTCTTTGAGAAAGTAAAAAAATTAAGATTAAATGAAATCATACTATAAAAATCCATACAAAGATTTCTTGCCAATACAAATGCAGAAGGACAAAACATTTAGTGTATTTTTATCTTTCAATAACTCTATAACATCCTTGAAGATGAAAAAGTTGATTTAAAAAAAAAACAAATTATAAAGAGTTCCATGGGGTTTCTTTTTCTTGCCTGTGATAGATAGCTTCTCTCAGTGTAAAAGTGTTATGTTGATTGACAGAAAACATACTAGTCCTCCATTTATCAGTAAAATACATAAGAAATAAAAAATTTGTGTCTTTTCAAATCAAGGACAAAATAATTGCAAACTCATCAAACTCATTGACGCCTAAAAAACTGAAGCCGACAACTGAACCTATATATTGACACCACTGTTGACAATGCAAGAAGGTAGTATCGCTATGCCATGCTTTTCAAACAAATTTTTCGCCACAAATATTATGACCACACAGTAGATTTTGGGTGCTTCAATATACACAAAATTGAGAATGGAAATGGGGAATATGTCAAAGAGACAACAACCGGACCAAAGAGTAGAAAACAACCGAAGGCCACCAATGGGTCTTCAACGCAGCAAGAAAATCCTGCACCCAGAGGTGGTCCTCAGCTGGCCCCTAAATGAAAAAGGACGTCACACTTAACTCCAAAACATATAAATGAACTAAACATAAAAAACATACAAGACTAACAAAGGACAGAGGCTCCTGACTTGGGACAGGCGCAAAAATGCAGCTGGGTTAAACATGTTTGTGAGATCTCAACCCTCACCCTATACCTCTAGCCAATATAAAATAAAGAAACACATAGCAATACGCACAGTAAAACTCAGTTTAAAAGAAGTCTGAGTCCGATGTCAGAATAGGTAACAAAAGAAACTAAGCAAAATGACAATGATACATAAATTAACAAAGGACTACTAGCAGTTACTGACATGCCAGCTCCAGGACTCAATTAAACAACATGTTTGTTTTCCATTGGCAAATACTTTCAAATTCACATTTTTGATTTGATGACATAAGTGATTTCTCTGTGAATTTTTGATGCTTATCATTAGCAACTTTGCAAAACAACGCCTTAAATCTTTATTTACCCATTTAGAGATTCTTATTTTCTATTCCTAATTGACCAATTCCATGACAAAGGCTTATATTGCATCAATTCTAGGAATATTAACTAGTAAGCCTAGCAGTCAAATTATTCCTTTTTCAAATTGATTGAGGTTTAAACATAGTTCCTTATGAGACTTGAGAGATTGGGGAAGTCAAATATCACTGTCATAACATTGAAATCTTTTAAAACTTTTTTGTGGTTGGCCTATATTAAAACATTGTACTCTTCAATCCTGCATTACGGTGATATCCTTAAAAGTTCTATAAACTGATAATTATATAGTGTATGAGCTCAAAACTTTATTCATAAATAATAAAATATCTAAATATGGTAAAAGAACAGAGTTCCAAAGTCCCCCACAAAGGGCCACATTGCGCATATTTTATCTATCAAGAAGCAATAACTAAAAAAAAAAACACTTTTTAATTTTTTTATTGTATACTATTCAAACAAGAGTGCACACTCTGAAATGTCTCACCTTCTTCACTAATCATTGATATTCTGTTGATTGTCCTAAATATAAAGCTTTCTTACAACTGTCACATAAACTTAATATTAACCAAGAAAACTAAATATTGACCAATGAACCATGAAAATGAGGTCAAGGTCAGATGAACCATGCCAGGCAGGCATGTACAGCTAACAATTCTTCCATACAACAAATATAGTTGACCTATTGCTTATAGTTTAAGAAAAACAGACCAAAACACAAAAACTAAACTATGACCACTGAACCATGAAAATGAGGTCAAGGTCAGATGACACCTGCCAGTTGGACATGTACCCCTTACTATCATTACATACACCAAATATAGTAGACCTATTGCTTATAGTATCTCAGATATGGACTTGACCACAAAAACTTAACCTTGTTCACTGATCCATGAAATGAGGTCGAGGTCAAGTGAAAACTATCTGACGGGCATGAGGACCTTGCAAGGTACGCACATACCAAATATAGTTATCCTATTACTTATAATAAGAGAGAATTTAACATTCCAAAAAATCTGAACTTTTTTTTCAAGTAGTCGCTGAACCATGAAAATGAGGTCAAGGACATTGGACATGTGACTGACGGAAACTTCGTAACATGAGGCTTCTATATACAAAGTATGAAGCATCCAGGTCTTCCACCTTCTAAAATATGAAGCTTTTAAGAAGTTAGCTAACGCCGCCGCCGCCGCCGGATCACTATCCCTATGTCGAGCTTTCTGCGACAAAAGTCGCAGGCTCGACAAAAACCCTTCAAAGGCATTACTTAAAGTATACTATAAGTTTTAAAAAAATTGTACCCGTGAGAGTGCTAACGAGGCCATTTTCCATAAATTAAAATTTCCATGGGTCAGAACTCTTTAGAAAAAGTCGATCGTCCACCATTATAAAACTTGTTTGAGAAATTGCTGATATTTACCTATAGTAATGAATAAGTTCTATAAAAAAATATGGCAAGAATTTTTCCCATGAAAGCTCACACAAGGCCATTTTCCATAAATTAATTTTTCCAAGGCTCATGACACTTTTGAAAAAGGTCGATTGTCCACCATTATAGAACTTACCAAGATATTGCTGATATTATCCTATAGTATGATTTTTTATAAAAATCTGGCAAGAATTGTACCTGTGAGGCCACTAACAAGACCAGACAAAAAGGTAGACACAAGGACGCACGGACAGACGCCCTGTATTTCCATGTACCCCTCAACATGTTACACAGTGCAAAATAAAATATTCAATTTAATAAAGTACATGTATGCTCAACTTCAGATACAGTTTTCAAAAATATTTTTCCAGAAGTCAAGATGTTGAAAATGAAAATAAGTTTATCCTGCAATTATCCAACTATTTGTTGTACAAATAACAGGCCCTAGGTACACAAATAAATTATTGCTTTATTTGTACATGTAAAAAAAAGTCTCCTGTTACCCAATTTCCATGTTGAGCAAGCGGTATAGTAAAATTTCTTTTTGCATGACAATTTATTTTGGAGTCCTTTTCACTGTCAGTTTTTTAAATTATGTTGATTTCTTTTAAAAATCAAAGACAACTATTTGATTTTAAACAAAGAAGGCTTTAAGGGTTGGATATAAATGGCAGGATAAAAACAATATACTGTGGATTCATTTATTTTCGTGGGTACCAATTTTCGTGGATTAAGGAAAACTTACATGTTCGTTGATATTTAATTTCGTGGTTTTGACGAAGTCTGCATACAAGCCTATGGAAAATTTGTTATTCGTTGAACATTTAATTTCGTGGTTCACCTGTACCCACGAAATCCACGAAAATTGGTATCCAACGAATAATAATGAATCCACAGTAATATATATGTTCCAGACCATATGAGTATTTGGACCCTACGCGTACGGTCCTGACTGTATGCATACTTTTTCAAAATACGCATGAAAATCATCACAACAAGGAAATGTAAACAAACGATGCAAAAATGTGTTATATAAGCCATTTTTTGTATACATATAAGACATATAAGTACAATTATCATTTAGATTCATCCAAACCTATCTAAATATGTTATTGTAAATAGTTTAAGCATGTCATTTATTCAGTTTGCTCCGGTCTTTTATGTCAATTTAATAGTGCGTTTATTTATGGGAACGGCAAATAATGCCTTCATCTAGAGCGCTTCGATCCAAAACAATTGCCGTATTTGTCCTATTAGAATCGAAATAATTCATGGGGCTTGAATATATTGTGATTTTACCACGGGTTGTCCCTTTATGCCGATATTTTACCCCTCGCTATCGCTCAGGGTAAAATATTTGTCATAAAGGGCCACCCCTGGTAAAATCACGATATAGTCAAGCCCCAATGAATTATTTCTTAATCAACATAACTGAAATCTCGAATTAATATAAAAAGTTCAATGTAATTGGAATAAAAACTTAATGTGTTCACTATTTAAAAGTTAATCTCCTGTTTATCAGAACAGAATAGGGAAGATACTGGACAGAAATTATAAAAAAATCTGTTCAAAATACAATGAGAAAATATAATAAAAAAGTGTCGAAAAATAATGCAAAGATTGAAAAAGGTAGCTTTGTTACTGTGAGAAAAGCATTGGGGGGTGTAGAGTTGATGATATTATTGGTAAGGATGCAAGTTTATACAAACTATCATGTGAATTTGGCATATTGAACTCTTGTTATGTTATGGGTGATATAGAATTTTTGACACTCAAAATTGAAACTGCACATTGGAAACAGAAGGAATTTCATTGCATGCTGCCACAAAACAACCAAGCAAGAGATGCAAATGCAAAGGAACATGAACACTACGTGTAAATGTAAGAAATCTGATGTTCCTTGTGGCAGCAAGTGTCACCCGGGACGAGAGTGCCAAAATAGGATTTAGATAGACAATTAAATACAGAATTATTTAATTTCAATTGATTTTTTAATTAATGTTAACTTATTCACTTTATTCATCTAATTGTAATAATATTAATTTGTAATACTTAATAAAAGTTTCTTGATAAATGTTTTTTATAAAATAAACCCATCTGGTCCAAAACATGTATGATCCAGCTCGTACTAGACCGTATGAGTATACGCATACGGTCCATACTGTACGCGTGCAATCCAAATACTCATATGGTCTGGAACATATATATACATTGTAGAAAATATAAAATGAATTTGTACCTGCTACATTAATATTACAGGTGAAAATTTCGGAAAACCTCGCTTTTCATCCTGTTTCTAAAGCCCTTACAAATAAACAATTTGTACAATATGTATCATTTTAGAGTAAGAAAAATATTAAAATGTTTGTTATATATTAGCTTCAACTTGAATATGATGATTATCTATGGGGATATTCAAAATGTCCCTTTGGTATCTTTCACATCTCCTTTTGAATATACCATATCACTATTTGGGAAGCTGCTACACTTTAATTTTTAACTTGATACAACAATCACTTTTTAGCTCACCTGGCCCAAAGGGTCAAGTGAGCTTTTCTCATCACTTGGCATCCGTCGTCCTTCAGCGTCTGTCGTCTGTCGGCGTCCGTCCGCGTCCGTTAACTTTTACAAAAATCTTCTCCTCTGAACCTACAAAGCCATATTTGACCAAACTTGGCTACAATTATCACTAGGGTATCTAGTTTAAAAAATGTGTCCAATGACCCCACCCGCCAACCAAGATGGCCGACATGGCTAAAAATAGAACATAGGGGTGAAATGCAATTTTTGGCTTACATCTCTGAAACCAAAGCATTAAGAGCAAATCTGACATGGGGAAAAAATGTTCATCAGGTCAAGATCTATCTGCCCTGGAATTTTCAGATGAATCAGACAACCAGTTGTTGGGTTGCTGCCCCTGAATTGGAAATTTTAAGGAAATTTTGCAGTTTTTGGTTATTATCTTGAATTTTATTATATATAGAGATAAAATGTAAACAGCAATAATGTTCAGCAAAGTAAGATCTACAAATAAGTTAGCATGACCAAAATTGTCAGTTGACCCCTTATGGAGTTATTGCCCTTTATAGTCAATTTTTAACAATTTTTCATAAATTTTTGTAATCTTTTACATAAATCTTCTCCTCTGAAACTACTGAGACAAATTTATCCAAACTTGGCCACAATCATCATTATGGTATCTAGTTTAAAAAATGTGTCGATGACCCAGCCCACTAACCAAGATGGCCGACATGGCTAAAAATAGTACATAGGGGTAAAATGCAGTTTTTGGCTCATATCTCTGAAACCAAAGCTTTTAAAGCAAATCTGACAGGGGTTAAATTGTTCATTAGGTCCAGATCTATCTGCCCTGAAATTTACAGACAAATCAGGCAACCTGTTGTTGGGTTGCTACCCTGGAATTGGTAATTTTAAGAAAATTTTGCAGTTTTTGGTTATTATCTTCAATATTATTATAGATAGAGATATACTGTAAACAGTAATAATGTACAGCAAAGTAAGATCTACAAATAAGTCAACATGACTAAAATGATCAATTGACCCCTTAAGGAGTTATTGCCCTTTATAGTCAATTTTTATTAACAATTTTCGTAAATTTTTGTAATTTTTTACAAAATATTTTCTTCTGAAACTACTGGGCCAAGTTCATTATAGATAGAGATAATTGTAAGCAGCAAAAATGTTCAGTAAAGTAAGATCTACAAAACATCACCATCACCAAAACACAATTTTGTCATGAATCCATGTGTGTCCATTGTTTAATATGCACATAGACCAAGGTGAGCGACACAGGCTCTTTAGAGCCTCTAGTTTTTTGTGGCATCTGATATTTTCTCGTGTAACATCAAAATTTAAAAACACAGCTGTGATGTTCAGTTATGGTGGACAAATAGGTAGTGAACATACAAAATAAAACCCACCAGCCAATTAAGAACAAATACAGTTAATTCCCTCTGTCTATTTTGTACTGTTAATTTAGAAATTATTGTGAGCATTTTTTATTGCGATTTTGTCATTTTAAACTAAAATGTGATTTTAATTTTTAAGATATTGAGAAAAATCCTGTTCAATTCATATAAAAAAATTAAATTCGAGTTTGAATTAATGCAAATATAACCCTGTTATATTTTTCGCAATAATAAAAACATCTCATAATTTCTGAATTTACAGTATATGAAATTGTTTGTCCCAATATTGGTATTTATCTTACCTCCTATACATTTCTAGGAATATGATTGGTTAAAAGCAACTTTGTGGAGACCGTGTATATTCCATATTAGGTTAGTAGGCTGGGCTTATTTCAGTACACGGTTAGTAGTGGTGTTACGTCCCTTTATAAAAACATTACGGTACTGAGAAAAAATCTCAAAGGTTTCAACAGACCAAGAAATTGATGATGAAAGATATAAAATTCATAAAACACATTTAAAGCTAACAAGTTGTTATTGTTGGCATTTGTTTTTTTGTATGACCAATGGAAGTAGTTTCTTAATGCTAACGGTATTGAAGACTTGCTCACTTTGATAGGTCACTAGTCTAAATACCACATGTTAAGATAGTTGGTAAGATAAATTCGTTACACAGTGTGCTAGTGACGTAATACGGTATATGTGGGGTCAGTAAATACCATATGGGGATTCGAGCTTCGCTCTCACCCAATATGGAATTTACTGACCCCATATATACCGTATTAGGTCACTAGCACACTATGTAACGAATAATATTTAACCTTTTTGTATAATGAGGATATGGCTTGAGGACTGTATCACGTAGACTGGTAAGTAATTTATGATTTTATTTTGTACATGTTTAGGTTATAGAATCCAGCAAACCTATACCATGTGGACCTTGTTTCCAGGGAAAAGTAAACACTAAAGCTGACATCTGGTGTTACAACTGTGATGAAAGATTAAGTTAACATATTCTATTAACCATAAAAGATTGATTTTTGTGTGACATCAATACTAAAACTGATAAACCATCCATCTCAGTGATCAAAATGGAATGTGACAAACATGGTCAACAGCTCATCTTGTATTGCCCCAGTCATTTAATGCCTTGCTGTGATGAATGTATTTCAACCAGTCATTCAAAATGTACAGGAATAAAGAGTTTAGCAGGTGTGGTGGAGAAAACAAAAATTGAAAAATCCAAAGAAACTGTAGAGACAGACATCATTTCTATCTTATCTACTTTGGACCAATTAGTAAATCAAAAATCAAAAAACATCAAAACAGGAGAAAATCAGTATATAGGCATACAGAAATCAATTAAAGGAATTAGACAGGAAATAAATAAACATTTAGACCACCTGGAGAAGAAGTTATGCCAAGAAGCAAGTATTATTAGGAATCAGGAAAAATCAAAAACAACGGATTTCATTTCTGAAATTGAAGGGAAAAAGAAAAACTTGAAGGAAATGAAAGAACAATTACAAACAGTCACTTCAAATATTTCCAAACTACAATCATTTCTTTGTGTACATAAGATTGAACAACAAGTACATCAATGTCAAAGATATATTGAAGATCTGGAAAATGATGACAGAGTCAAAGAAGTTGACATCAAAATGAAGCAAAATGATGAGATAGAAAAAATACTAAGTCAATTAGAATCATTAGAATCCCTCGGAGAAGTAACAGTTGTTAAGACAGAAATAGACTTAAACAGACATACAAGTTTGAGGAGGAAAGCACAAGTAGAATCACAAGAACAATCCAACATAAACAACATGACCATGAATATTGAGACAAAGATAGAGATCAACATAAGTGAGATTATTACTGACATGATTTGTCTGATGGATGGAAGAGTTATAGTAGTGGAAGGGTTGGGTAAAGTTTACCTACTTACTTCTGATGGTAAACTACAGAAACAACTACCTATACCTGGTGGAGCCTTGAGTGTTACACAGATCAATCAGGACACTATAGCCATAACTTATCCTGGTGAGGGAGCCATTAAGATCTTCAATATGGAGAATGAAACAGTTACCAAAGTTATCAAATTAAACAAAGGATGCTATGGTTTATCATTCTACAATAATTCTCTGGCTGTAGGTTTGAGTAGTGATGAAATCCGTATTATAGACTTGGAAGGAAATACACAGAAGTCAATACAAGTTGAGAGTGCATCAAACCTGTATCACCTTGTTTACCGTAATGACAGAGTAATCTATAGTGACTGTATAGGTAAAGCAGTATACTGTGTGGATGGATCAGGTAAACAGACCTGGCAATATACACAGGATTTATCACGACCACAAGGACTTTGTACAGATACTTATGGTAACATTATTGTAGCAGACTGTGTCTCTGACAGGATAATAGTAATATCAAAAGATGGACAGGATGGTAAAGTACTGCTTAGTAATGAGGATAGACTGAAAGATCCTCTGTGTATTAGTTTTAAAGATAATGAGTCTTCAGGTTTTATTTGTGATAACACAGGCAGATACTTGACAGAATTCAATCTATCATGTGGATAACATACACACTAAAGAATCTTATGAATATTGCTTTTCTATGAAATAATAAACCTATAATAGGTGGTAATATTTAATAGTAAAAGTTTGAATGTGAGAGGTAATAAAGACAAGTGTATAGATGTATGCTTTTATTGTGTTGTTGGGTTACTGTCTATTAAATCAATGTCCACATCACAGATCCTTATATTCCTAAGTGGTGATAATTGTTGTGAAGTTCAATTAATGTAAGAGAAAATATACACAAGTGTATAGATGTCTGTTTCATTGTGTTGCTAAGTTACTGTCTACTTATATTCTGTCTTGATATATGGTGTGAAGGAAATGTAGGCAGGTGTATAGCGGTATGCTTTTATTGTGTTGTTGGGTTACTGTCTAATCACATATATTTAATTATATTCCTAAGTGGTGATATTTGGTGTGAAGTTTGAATGTGATAGGAAATGTAAACAAGTGTATAAATGTATGCTTTTATTGTGTTGTTGTGTGACTGTCTATTAATATTCAACTCAAATATTATTAAAAGTGAAGAAATTACCTTGTAAAAGAATTTCAAAAACATTTTAGATAATCATGATACCTTCATTCAGTGAAAATAACAGATAGGTATCAATTCTATGATATAAGGGGATACTGATAGAATATCTCCATCAAGGAAAGGAATATTAACACTAAGAAAGGAAAAGTTATCCCCTTCATAATTTTGGTATATAGACTGCCATGAGAAATTCTAATTTGAAAGACGAAAAAAATAACATTGGTAATTATTGAAAATTGGTTCAGTAAAATTGAGTTAATGGATAAATTTGGAAAAATTGAATCCTAAACAAAAAACAATCATGTACCATCTAAATATCTGCAGGTATTGCTAAAATATCTATGGAGGGATGTTTTTTTGTGTCTTTATGAAGTTTGATTCATGACAGTAAGGGTATAAACCTGCAGTAAGTGGGACACAGTAGAAAATCTCCTACCAGTAGTTATTATTTTAATGCTGACAAACAAACCTACCTTTCCTATCAGTGGTTTTCCTTGACTGTCCTTGATAAATATGTCCATCTTTATTCCTAAGTCATATGGTCCATAATTCCCTGGGAACTCATTACTGATACCTGGATCCTACAAAGATAAATATGTCCATCTTTATTCCTAAGTCAAATGGTCCATAATTCCCTGGGGACTCATTACTTATACCTGGATCCTACAAAGATAAATATGTCCATCTTTATTCCTAAGTCAAATGGTCCATAATTCCCTGGGAACTCATTACTGATACCTGGATCCTACAAAGATAAATATGTCCATCTTTATTCCTAAGTCAAATGGTCCATAATTCCCTGGGGACTGATTACTTATACCTGGATCCTACAAAGATAAATATGTCCATCTTTATTCCCAAGTCAAATGGTCCATAATTCCCTGGGGATTCATTACTGATACCTTGATCCTACAAAGATAAATATGTCCATCTTTATTCCTAAGTCAAATGGTCCATAATTCCCTGGGGGCCCATTACTGATAACTGGATCCTACAAAAAATAAATATATCCATATCTATACAGGAAAGCTTTTTAATAGAAAAAGCTAGTATTACGATATTTGTTTTTTTTGGTACCAGCTTTAAGACACATATTGATTAGAAAAATTGTTATTTATAACAATTATAAATAATTTTTATTATTATTATCATTTAATTTTTAGTTTAGAAAATATAAATGTAGGCCTAAGATAAGAAATTTCAAAATTTCTGCTGTTAAATCTTTTTTTCAAGAACTTATTATAAAGTGGGTCTCTAAATTCTTATTTGTGGAATCAACCCACATGTAATTCTATCAGAAAAAAAACATACCTATATAACTTTACCTAACTTTTTGTTAAGTAGAGATCAGTAAATATATATAGGTATACATTTTTTTTTTCAGAGGCAATTGCCTATGAATTAACTTTGTACATATATAAACCATTTGAATCACATGTAGTCCTTTGCTCATTAAATCACATGTAATTTCATTTCCCTTCTTACTATTTTAAGCATGATATATGAAGAATTTGATTTGGAAGGTGTATGAAAAAAATTTGCATGTGATACACTGTGCACACTAGGGACTATATTGGTAGACAATGAAAATTAAGAAGATAACTGTATACCTGGTCCTGTGTCTACTATTTTAGAAACAACATTAGAAAAGCAATCAGCCCTACCTACCACAATCATTATATAATGCATTCCTTTGTTATGTAAAGTGTTGACCATTGCAGGCATATCACCAAATTCTGTAGAATATGTGAAATCTTTCTTGCTGTCCATGTAGTCTATATCATTCCACTGGACATCCTGAAAATTAAATCAGTTCAAAATTAATTTTTGATGGATTTCATGATTAATCACAATAATGAAATACTGTGGAATCATTCAATTTTCGTTGACTGAGGAAAACTTACTTTTTGTGGATATTTTATTTCCTGGTTTTGCCACAGTTTGCATACAATATAAAAAAGAAGATGTGGTATGAAGCCTATTGAAAATTTGTTATTTGTTGGGACATTTAAATTTGTGGTTCACCTGTACATACTAAATTATTGAAAATTGTTGATGCATCCACAGTAAATATTTCTTTTAATTGTGTGAATAAATAGCCTATGTATATTTGTACCTATAAAAGTAATATATTGTAATTACCATTAGAAATTTCATCATTTAAATCAGAATCAAACTTCACCTTTCCATATCTGAAAACTTTATGCTGACCATTGGAAGTCTTTTATTGTTAAATAATTTTTGCTAGGTTGCGGTTGCATTGACATATTACCAACATCTCCTAGTAATCATAATGATAAATGAAAACTGGTCAAAAGAGTGAAAGTATATCAGTATTTTACCCAAAAAATTAGGGATTGTAAGCAATAAGAATAGGAAGTTGCCCATATTTACTAGTATGTTATTCAATGCCAATGACCTTTGATCTTCTTGTTATAGAAGCATTATACTAACCTGAGGTATTCCAGCTTGTCTGTTTTTTTCTACTATGGCAAGTGTCTCATTGGCTGTTTTGTATCCCCACCTACACAGATGAAAACCTAAACTCCAATATGGTGGCATAAATGAATGACCTATGACCTCTGTGTATTGCTGAATGACCTCTCCTGGAGTAGGTCCCATGAAGACATAAAGATCTATAATTCCTCCTATAGTTCTCCATGTTATAGCTGGGGAGGGTTGTAGTATCACATCTGAAATAATACATAAAAACTCCATGTTATAGCTGGGGAGGGTTGTAGTATCACATCTAAAATAATACATTAAAAAGGATAACAAAAATCCTCAAAAGTAATGGACAGTGCAAAAGACTACACCAACCAACTATCTGATGCTTTTCTACTTTAATGGTAAACCTAAGTATATATATATAATTGATGCTCTTGAATGAAAAGGGAACAATTAATCAACTTAATCCTGCAATTTATATCAAATAAAGTAGGATAACACCAATAATTTGGATGTCACAGTGGAAAATTTGAAAGCATTTGCAGAAATATATTATCAACAAAATCAATCTATAATGTTGAATATGAATATTATCTTTAGTTTTTACAGTTCTTTGGATTTATGTATTTAATACCTTTTCATTTACCTCCTGTTTCAGAGAATATTTTTATGCACTTTATAGTCTTTTTGTGAGATATTCTACAGTAAAATGATACTTATATGGCATAAATTACTTTTAGTTATAACTTCATATGGGCTTTCATTCTTTGGAGGACTTTGTTAGTTAATCATTAGCAGGTTTAAAATCATTTAAATTGGGTTTGCTATATATATAACCTAAGATTAATTGTTTACCCATAACTTTCAATATTTAAAGTGACTTATAAGGTTTAATTTGTAAATTATTAATGGAAAATTTATATAAGGTATGTAAAATCTTGTCAGACAAGCACTTTCTGCTTACCTGCTGATACCATCCTTGTAATTACCATACACAAAATGTTGTAAAATGTTGTTAAATTTCAATTTCAATTTGATGCATAATATTGTTTATTTTTTATAAGGTTGTAAAATGTAGTGACCGTTTATGCTTACATGATGCTTTCTACTATAATAGAGTATTTGATAGTTTTACTGATGCATATGTTTAACTTTTTGGGGTTTCCTAAGGTGAGATGAATTTTTTGTTCATGATTTACAATTAGATATTTTAGGCTGTCAGTGAAGAGTGGATATTTTTCAAATTTCAAATTAATACCTAATCTTGGGACTACAATTGCAAGCTGTATTTAGCTATTTGGAATTAATTATTTTCTACAACAACAACAAAAAATTCTTATTTTTTTACAAGAGTTATCTCCCTTTGCATATGGAGATGATAAATAATAAAAGATTGTTTTTACCATAAAATAAAATAAAAGCAATTGAGAACAGAGGCGGATTTAGGGGGGGGCCCGGCCCCTCCTTTTGCGGGGAAAAATTTGGTTGATTATATAGGGAATCACTGAAGCGTGACTGGAGCGGGGCCCCCTCTTAGGCAGTCAGTGGGCCCCCTCTTATAAAAATTTCTGGATCCGCCACTTGAGAAGGTCACATGTTGTAAATATAGATATATCTTTTTATGTTATTTTTATAAATAATAGTTTTAGAACTGTCTTGAGGTCTTGTCAGTACCCAAGCAATGACTAATGAGCTACCCTTGTCATAACTTAATGTAGTTAACATATCATACTTGTTGTAAAATTAAGTAAATTTTTAACTCTTGAAGTATATTATTGTTTATATTTCTGTAAGGTTGTAAAAGTTAGAAGGATCTTACTTAGTAGGATAATGTTTTCTAATACAAAAAGGAATTTTTGATAGTTTTACTAATGCATGTGTTTCAGTTTTTTGTTTTTTTTAAAGATGAGGTGAAATTAATTTTTATTCTTAATTCACAATTAGAATTTTTCTCCTAACATCAAAGATTGGATCTTAATATAGGCAATTTTACATAAATCTTTAAAGTTGGGACTACAGCTGCTAGCATCTGTATTTAGCTATTTGGAATTTTAGTTTCAAGATTTTGCTATAGTTATCTCCCTTTGCATATGGATATGATACATGAAGTACCAATTGAAAAGGTCCCAAGTTTTCATGCTGTAAATAAATATATATCTGTTTATATTTTTGTTTTATTAATAATAATAGTTTTAGTTCTTTATTTCTGTATTAGTTAACTCAAGGCTTGCAATGCTGACTTTAAATAATTACTGTATAAGTTAACTTTTGTTGTTTACTTGATATAATTAACTGTGTACAATTACTCTATTTGAAATTGATGTGTGACTTACATACATATAAAACAGCAATTTTAAACAAGCATTGACAATGGCTGACAACAATCGTGAGGCACTCACTTTTATTTCTATATAGAATAAAATTTAGCTATGGCTGCACATGATATCTGTGACAATGTTAAAAAATTGAAAATAAATTAAAAGCTTGGTATAACTCTCAATTTCATGGTTGTAGCAATAAAATGTAATTATAAGAATTGAATGCTTCCTTTTATAATTTTACAGGGGTGTAAAAGAGTTGATCATGCACCTCTTTTAAAAATATGAAGCTCTTTCAGGCTTCATACAAAATGTGCTTCGGTCAAGGCTTTTACACCCCTTTAAAATTATAAAATAAAGCATTCAATTCTTTAATAAATAAAATCAGATTTGGAGTAACTGTTTAGAGAGACAACAATTTATCCTATAAAATAATAAAATACATGTTTGCTTGCTCGAATATTTTATTGATTGAGAAATTATTTTCAATGGTAAGCAGAGTTGGTGATATTTTGTTTTTTAGGGAGAGACAGTATGCTATTTATCCTCTCATCTTTTAATTTCAAGCTGTAGAATTTTTCAATATTTTATCTAGTTTGAAACATAAGTTCTAATTTGTGTCAGATTATTTTGGTTCAAAATTTTTGAAACTCTCATTTTTTTTTTTATTTCATGTCCAAGTTTCAAGAGTAAGCTAAAGTTCTATTCCTTTGCATATGAATATACAACTTGACACAATTGTGTTTTTACTTATGCAGGTTTAATGTTTTAAATATATATATATGTTTGTTTTTTTTTTTTTTTTAATAAATAATATTTTTAGTACTTTATTTCTGTATTATTTCACTCAAGGCTTGCTTACTTCATAACTTTTAAGTATGAGTTTAATTTACATGAGACAACACCTTGAAGCAACTCTAATGTTTTAAGAAAGAACAGATTCAATATGATTGGTATGATTGCCTATAAAACGACTATCCACCAGAGTTCAAATGAAATGAATATGAGCAATTATAGGTAACCGTACGCCCTTCAACATTGAGAAAAACCCATACTGTATTGTAAGTTTGTATATTTTGTTAATTGACGATTCAATGGTCTACAACCTTGGCAAATTGTTTTTTAAGATAATTGCATTATCCTGTCGTTATTCTATTTCAAACCGTAGATGAGTTAAGCCATTTCCAACTGATTTTTACAGGTTGTTCTAGATCTGATGTTGTGCTGTTCATCATTGTCCCAGGTTAGAGGGAGGGTTCAGTGCTCACAATATCCTATTTCTCTTACATGCAATAGATACATGTATTTCCAGTTAAAAAAGATAACATTGTTATTTCAGCTTATTTTCCATTATGGAAAAAAAGAAGTATGGTATGATTGCCAACCAGTGACCAAATGACATTGAGGTTTATATAGTTAACATCTATAGGTCACCTTATGGCATTCAAAAATGAGCAAAACCAATACAGCATAGTAAGCTATGAATAGTCCCAAATTCACAAATCAATAACATTTCAAACTAGAAAACTAATGGACTGATGTATGTGCAAAACAATAAACAAAACAAAAATATGATACACAGTAACAAACAACAACTTTTGAATTGCATGCTCCTGACTTGGGACAGGCTAATACAGAATGTGGCAGGGTTGTTATTGTTACTATTTAAATCATTTCTTAAGTGAAGAAGAATTATCTGGTCTGTTTTAATCGATGTTAAATCAGGCAAAAATGTAGCGAGGTTGACATATAGAATAGAATTGCTCTAAAAGAAGGGGTCAATTTGAACTTGCAGTTGACATGAGCCTCTTCTCTGTGTTGAAGGTCTTACTGTGACTCTGAGATAAAGAACAACAATATAAGCTTGGTTTCTTTGCTTTGAAATTTCTTATATAACTAAGTCACTGTGTATCATCGCCACCGGAAATTGGGTACTAACGAAGCGGAGAGAAATGGAAAAAAAAAGTAAACAAGGTAAGAATTCATTCAATTTAAAGCATTTCTACTGATTTGGCGAGGGTACCACTTAAGAAATGATTTTCTGATATATAATTCTTTAAATTATTAGGCCGATAAGTACAAAATAAAGACAATATTGTGTGTTATACTCCAAAGCTTGCCACTTAGTACCTGAAAATTTCGAGGTCGATTGTCCTCTGTCGCCCCATTGGCAAGATATTCAACTGTTTTTCATTATTTTTCTAGACACGTTTTTAGATTATGATAGTGTGACATCATATTGACTGAAATCTGTTGTCATAAAGATGTTTTTAAAGAATATGGACCAAAACATTGTTTGTTTATTGTACGCGAATTGCAGGACGTTGTACGGCGAATTGCAAAATAACAACTTTTGTCTGTACGGCGTCTTGCAATATATTGTAATTTAAAGATGAAATTAATCACTGTTTAGATAATATCAAGTGACAAAATTTTGGCTGTATCAAAGCTTTACCGGCTTACAAATATACAAAATAAACTACTTATCAAATATTATAAAATATATGCCGTTAATTTCATTCAGAAGTCGTCGTTGCGTACCTCTATTTGACTTTTTGTTTTTAAAGACAAAAAGGTTTTTTTCAACCATATTATCCTAAATACATTCATATATCGTTATAATACTAACGACTGTTGTCTTATTTGTTGTCAGGGTGAAATTTTGTAAGTTCAATAAAAAAAACCGACCATTCATCTTTTGTTGGCGCTGTTTTTTTTTAAAAATATAAACAGTGGAGATGTTGTATGATTGCAAATAAGATAACTATCCACCAGGGTCAAATAAAGTGTATGTAAGCAATTATATGCTATCGTTTGGCCTTCAACAACCAAAAATCGTACCTTACAGTCGGCTATAAAAAGCCCCGACATGAAAATTGTGGAAGGATTCAACAAGAAAACTAACGGCCTAACTCATAACAAAACAATTAACGAAAAATAACAAATATGATAGAGATGAACCAACGACAACCACCAAACTACAGGCTCGTGGCTTCGGACAGACACATAAAGAATGTGCTGGGTTAAATAGATATAGGAAGATATGGTATGAGTGCCAATGAGACAACTCTCCATCCAAGTCACAATTTATAAAAGTAAACCATTATAGATCAAGGTACGGTCTTCAACATTGTTCATTGTTTATTTTTTCAATTTCTGAAATGAATAATTTGTTAAAAGAAAAGTGAAGAAAATACTTTGTTTTCATTGAAAATTAGGAGAAATAAATCATGAATTGTGTTTCGAATTAATGTTCTTGTTTCTTAATGAAAATAAGATTGTATTTTTTTTTTAGTTTAAGTAAATTCAATCAATCTTTTTATTTACAGGGAAAAAATAATAAAAGACTGTTGCTAAGGCTGTTTGACCTAAACTTAAATGAGTAGATGGAGGGGTAGTGAAAAGGAGTGTATTCGTCCGAATTTTCATTGTTACAGTTGTACATTTTCATGATTACTATGTATGATATTTCTCAGTAAATTCTAATGTGATATTGTGCCAATTAAAATTATATAATTAATACAAGTAAGACTTGCATTTGCCTTAAAAGATATAGCAGTACGTGATTATTTGTTTTCAAACACACCTCTGTTTTGAAACTTATAAAGGTATGGATCTGTTTGGTTGAATATAAATGTGAATTTTCAAAATCAACAGTAAGCCCTATTTTTGTGTGTGTGTAAATAATCTAATCGTTTGATAGATGCTAAAATTAAAATCATTTTTCTTAATAAGAAGAAAAAAGTGCAACTTAAGCACGCCTGAATGTAAAAAGGTGTACCCGACTTATTCGTTCGCGATAAGAATTTACCGATTTCGGTATTTTAACAAAACTGTTTATGAGGGCAAATAAATAAATGAACGCTATCAAATCAACATTTAAATTTGCGTGGATTTTTCCAAAAGAATTTATGAGTATGCACCATCAGGATTCAAAAATATTTCAATCTGTCCTTATTAGATGTTATTGCATTATAATTCTTTAAACTTACAAGTCGAAGATGCTAGCTTTTGTGAATTGTATTAATAAGTATATAATATTAAGATGACAACCAAAAAAAACTTCATACAAGGTCATCTTTATTCTCAAGTAGAAAGTTTATATGAATAGTTTATGTCATAGCCACAGCCGGATTTGTATCCCTTGTATCGGATTCTTCTTTCATTCTTTCCAAAAATGATTAATCTAAGGTTAATACTTTTTTTAAATTGAAACAGTGTTAGCCACCGAGCTTGTTCATTTCCTACTATATAGAGATATGAAGTTGTTTTTTTTTAGAAAATTAATGTTCTTTGTTCTAATATTTTGGCTGTATCTGCATTTACAAATAAGACAATAACATTAATTGAAAAAGGAGACGTGGAATGGTTTTCACTGAGAGGACTTTCAAACAAAGCCCAAATGAAATAGATTTGACCAACTATTGGTTACTATACACTTCACAATGAACAAAACCCATACCGTATCAAAATTGCCTGATTTATGACAAAATCATAAACAAATATGTCAGGCAGCAACTTGCGACAGTCGCTATATTACATGTTCCTGACCAGGAACAGACACATATATACTGAGGCGGGCTTAAACATGTTTGTGCGCACCCAAACCTCCCTTAACGTGGTGCCGTGGTGTAGCAATACAACATTTTTTTTGCAGAGAATGATAATTCTTTCATATTTCATTTTATCTGAAAGTTGAAAGAGAATTCATTCACTTATTGGTTCTAAATATTCAATGCGGAAAAATTCTCCTGCCATTACCTCCTTCCTTCCCTCCACCCACAACCCATCCCCGAAATGTTCATCACTTATATGCAAATGCTGACTAATGTTGTGTGGTTAAAACATTTGGTTGAGGCAATCTAAAGTTTGAGAACAGAAACGACAGCTTTAGCTTTTTTTCATTTATAAAAGGGCATAACTTAAAAACGGTAACAGTGACGCTACCCAATTTATAACTTGATCTGTGTTTTGTGGTGATAAGCATTTCGTGTAAGTTTTAAAACATTTGATTAAGGCATACTAAAGTTAGAGAACGGAAACCAATTATTGGGACTTTCTGGACGGACGGGAGAGACGGGTCGGACGGATATGGGTAACATTTAACGCTACGTCAGGGCAGAACAACAGGTCAGTAAAACAGTGACATGCCTTTCCGAAAGTTACAACATTTGCCAGATTTTGTATATGCCGTATTCATATTGTATACATCAGGTATGTAAAAGATGTAATAGGACTGTGTTCAAGCCTTATATTGTGTATACATCTTAAATGGTGTCAAGCGAATTGTATTTTTATCAAATGCATGATTAGATATTTGAACCTAATACTTTATTTTCTTTAAAAAGACGGCAAATAAATATTTTGAAATTAGCAAGATGCCATACAGTTGAAAACAAGTTGCCATACAGTAAATTTGTCAACATGAGCAAGTTGCCGTACCCTAGACCTTATTTTTTATGGTCTATTTTCTTAAAAAACGTTCATTTTGACAACAAATTTCAGTAAATATGATGCCACACTATAATAATCTAAAAAAGTGTCTGGAAAAATAATGAAAAACAGTTGAATATCTTGCCAATGGGGCTACAGAGGACGATCGACCTCGAAATTTTCAGGTACTTAGTGGCAAGTTCTTGAGTATAACACAAAATCTTGTCTTAATTTTGTACTTATCGGCCTAATAATTTAAAGAATTATATATCAGAAAATCATTTCTTAAGCTGTACCCTCGTCAAATCAGTAGAAATGCTTTAAATTGAATGAATTCTTACCTTGTTTACTTTTTTTTTCCATTTCTCTCCGCTTCGTTAGTACCCAATTTCCGGTGGCGATGATACACAGTGTAAGTGCATGTTAGAATTTTTTCTATGGAATTAGTACAAAACATATCACCTTATCTTCTTCAATGTCTTGGTGCCAGTGTGTATGTAATTTATAGAAATTATCAATGCATATGTAGATTTTAAATTGACTTCATACTGACTACATATGTGAAGGTGGAGATTTGTGCACTCATAAAATTGGTTTAACTCCAACACTTGTTCAATCTTGTCTTTGTATGCATGTCTGCGATTATTATTTTAGGAGTTGTGTGTCTTTGATTGATGTTATCTTTTAAACTATCTAGTACATTGTATATTTAATAATATTTTTTGCTACCCCTTTTATAATATACAGTCCGCCAAAAGTTAAGCACCACCTAAATATAACTGTCAATATTTTTTGAACTATTGCGAAAAAAATATTTATGTTTGGTGTTATCAATTGCCTATAGCATACACTAAGAAAATTCATTACGACCAAGAAAAATTAAACTCCGATATACCCGCCAAGCAACCTTTTATTAAAGGTCATCTGCACTTTTACAAATACACTGTTTCGATGCCTTCAAATCATCTTCCTACTGTCCAGCGTACAGGTGAAATTTGACCTTCACCAAGTCACTGTGAAATATGGCAAGCGGTAAGTTATCTGTGACTGAACGTTGACAAGCAATTGACATGTCAAATGCCGGTAGGAGCACTAGGAGAATTTGTAACCATTTCAATGTTAATCGCACCGTCATTGTCAGATTTTTACAACATCATATTGACACAGGAACTGTAAATGATAGACCAAGGTCCGGAAGACCCCGTTTAACTACCTATCGTGATGACAGACTACTTATTGGTCGTGCTAAAGCCAACCCATTTACTCCTACCCCAAAGCTTAGACACCACTGGCCTCCAGGTGGTCGTGTTAGTGTTCGAACATTGGTCCGTCGACTTTATAGAGGCTTCCTAAGAGCATGTCGTGTTGTCAAAAGACGTGCCCTAACAGCCAGGCACCGTATAATCAAGTTTCAAAGTGCTAATGACCATCGACGATGGAACATGAGAACCTGGCAAAATATTCATTGGTCAGATGAGAGTTGGTTTCTGTTACGACCAATAGACGGCAGAATACGAGTTTGGCGGGGAAATAAAACTGCCTATCACCAAAACAACAATTGCCCAACGACAGCAATCGTTGATGGTGGTGTTACAGTATGGGGTTTCTTCTCATACTGTTGTAAGCTGGGTATGCATATTTTGCAGGGTAACATGAACAGACAGACATACAGGGATTTGGTGCTTAGAAACACTGTAGTCCCTCATTTTGAGAATCCCCAACTTGCGCCAAGACCCTCGTACATGGACAACAACGCTAGACCACACAGGGCAAGGATTGTAACAGATTACAAAGATCAAGAAGCCATTGACACTATCTTTTGGCCTTCCATGTCTCCAGACCTGAACCCTATCGAACATGTCTGGGATGCCATTGGCAGAAATCTCAATCGCAGAGATCCACCTTTGCAAAATCTTGGCGATTTAAGAGGGGCAATTGTTGATAAATGGAATAAATTTGCTCAACTAAAGTTCAGAAGGCTTGTACAGAGTATGAGACGCCGTGTTATGGAACTGTACCGGAAGAGAGGTGGTTACACATCCTATTGACTTAAATATTGACATTAAATTTGCCGAACATACCAAATATTACTTTTAGAGACTTTTAATGATTTTGGGTGATTAATTGTTGTAAAAAAATAAAATCAAAGTAAAACTTAAATTCCGTTTCTGATTTGTGTAATTTTCACTATTTCTATGAACGCAAAATTCAAATGCATAGAACCTGCATCAGTGACCAAACTTAAGTTTATGGTTTGTTTATGGCATATGTTAGCAAAATTGCTACATGAATATTTTCTCTTTTTCGAGGATAAACTGTTTTTTTTAAATGAAAAAAATTTCGATGCAACAAAGATAGGTGGTGCTTAACTTTTGGCGGACTGTATATATATAAATATTTACCCATGGCATTACTGTTCAGTAAAAATACACCATGACTTTTCCCGTCATTCTCCATTACTAGATAAAATGGATGGGATCCGTACAGGTTTGCCTTCTCCTGAAAATTACAATAATGTTTATTTATAATTAATTACTATTTCTTCACCAAACAAAATAGATTGAGTCCGATTGTATTCAGGTTAACTGGGCAGTCCACACATGAAGCAAACATTTTAAAATGTTCTATCTATATTTAACCATTTCCAGAGAGCAAATTTAAGTCCAGTTTTTACACCAGAATTAAGTGTTGTGATAAAAAAAAACTTAAAAAGCTACATTCAAAACTTACAGGATAAGTTTCTTGATTTTCCCTCTATAGTAATGGTCAATAGTGAATATCCAGTCAATAGATTGAATAAGATACAGTTTACATGTACTGGAATTATTTTGGAGTAAAAGGACATAGAATGAATGAAGATCAGATAACATTCACAATGCATGATGGGAAATGACCATAATCTCACAGAAACAAACCTTCAAATGCTGTTCTACATCTTGCTATTTACTGAAATTATCGGATGAAGATTTCACACCATACAACAACTTTTATATCAGGTCACAAGATAGAATAAATTAAGCATACAACTTACATGTGGTGGGTTGTCTTTGTTCCACATTGTATATCTAGTCCAGTTTACATTGTGTAGCAGTGGTCCACGATGTTCTCCCAATCCATAAATAAAACTTGATGGCAAAAAACTGGACAGCTCAATAAACTGATTACAGAAAGTCAAAGGGGATGCTCCAGTTGTATTTATTCTGAAGTTGGAAGCAACGTCATGTTTTATCATATATTAAGTCTTGACCATTTTTAATAGTCCAAAGATCTGAATTTTGTTAATTCTTAAAGGTTATGAAGGTTTATTAACTTTTACAATACAAATGAGTTTTCTGACTGGAGAAAGTTTGATGACACTGGATGTCTGTCAACAAAATTAAATAATTAGGATTTACAATGCAACAGAGTTATCTCTCCTGATTACAGAAGACATAGAGTATTTCTGCAAGTTCTTTGACCTTGAATGTAGAATAGAGATCACCACTGATTTTTGGTGAAGTTTGTGTTGCTCGGTCTTTAGTTTTAATGTTGTGTTTTGTAGACTGTTGTTTCTCTTTTCTAATTTTTTTCGTTTTGTTTGCAATGGCGCTGTCAGTTTGTCTATGACTTATGAGTTTGAATATCCCTAGGGTATCTTCAACCTCTCTTTAATAAAAGTTGGGATTACAAAACAACAGAAATCTCCCGTTTTACTGAAATTTTACATTATTCCCTAAAATTCAACAACTCTGATATTAAGGAGGACTTACAAAACTACAGCGTTATCTTTCCTGATCACAGAAACACTAAATCTTTCTGTAGGTTTACTGAGACTGACTGTAAACAGTGTATCATTGACAGCTTGTGATACGTCAGGTGTGTTCAGAGGTACCTCATATCTGACAGTAGCTGGGTCAAATATCTGCAAATAAACATAAGTTCAAGAAAAGGTTTTTATTGAAACTTTGCCTAAACATTCAGAATGTTCAGATTAGTTCTGTAGATTTTTATAATTTAAGACTATGGACATCTACTTGATATCTCTTTATTTTTGAATACAAGTTATAATCTATCTGTAAATTTTTTGATAACATTAGATTTTTGTATTAAATTTAAACTATTTTAGATTAAAAGTACATTGTACATGTACATGTAGTAATAGGTACAGTAACATAGTCACCAGGCCTGACCAAAAGTTAAAAAAAAAGAACTTTGCTTTCACCTAAAGGTGTAATACCACCATTGATTTTCCCCTATTAGTCTTTGCTAAATTTGCACTTTTCAAAAAATTGTGCAGAATTTATTTTTGTTTCAAAAAATGAAATACTTGGCATGAGTAAAGTTTTATCCTGTCCAGTACTATAGAAAAAAATTAACATAACATTTCATTGCATATAAGAAAATAACCATCACTGGAAATTAACCAATCAAATTTTCCCCCCTTTTTAAGCTGTGTACAAGCTTTAGTAACCATGTAACCTCAAGTTTCCAAAATATTCTATAGAAACCCCAAATAAAAAAATAATGGTGCTTTGAAATACCCAAGATATATGTTTATGACCCAGAAATGTTTTACTGCAATGAAATGTAGGATCAATTACCTACAACTGTCAAATTCAAGGGAATATTTCTTTTATTCCTAACCATCCCTTTGTGGTATGGACACTTGTGGTATAATTTCAGAGAGATCCATACACCGTTCCACAAGTTATTGTCTGGAAACTAGAAAAATGTTTATTTGGGCCCCGTTTGGGCCCCTAATTCCTAAACTGTTAGGAATATAACCCCAAAATCAATCCCAACCTTCCTTTTGTGGTTATAAACTTTGTATTTAAATTTCATAGATTTCTATTCACATTTACTAAAGTTATTGTCTGGAAACAAAATGTCTTCGGACGATGCTGACAACGATGACAACGATGACGACAACGTGATACCAATATACATGTACGACTGCAAAATTTTTTGCGGTCGTATAAAAAGTCTTATTCATATCTAAGATCATTAACACTGTAAATACTTAAGGAAGTACACCACTAATTCATGGCCCCATTGCTTTCTATGTCAAATTCCTCAATTTCAAGCAGGCACAGCTCTTTTATTTTAAGTTCAAATAAAGTGACAATCATTGCATGTCAAAGCAACACTTTATGGTGTCTTGTACTGAAAAAATCAACATACCTTTAATGGCATATAAGAAAGAACTGGTTCCCGGAACTTCAGATGTACCATAACAGGTACTTCAGATCTGACAAACAGGCAAAATGTACCCTCTTTTTAAAATTTGGTGCAGTTTTTTAAATATTCAAATTTATAAGTCAAAAAGTGTTCTACAATGATCACCAGTCATTCAGCTTTCATTTGATACCAAAAATATTCTACATATCTTGAAAGTTACACTCATGCATAGGAACTATTTTGTGTTAAATATGTACTACTTTCTGGTATGTGCTTTCTGGCCGGGCCCGAATTAGTGGTGTTACACCTATAACAGAACCAAACTTGCTGTATTGACTTCAGCTTTACTTTATATAATTCTATGATCTATTTCAACCAATAAAAAACATATAAAGCTTTAGTCCAAGTACTATTTAATTAATTTTAAGCTCAAATTAGACTGGAAGTAACAAATAGGTTATTCAAAGAAAACTGCATATGGATATTACCAATGGCCAATAAACTTTTTTTATTTTCAATATCATTGTTCTATTTATTAATTTCTATTAGAAAAGCAATGTGCTTACCAATAGTCATATTTTTACCAGAGGTTGTTCATTTAATAAAAATATATTAGTCCAAATCTAAGACATCATTGAGAATATTGTCCCCCCTTTTTTCTTCAAATTGGAAAAGGGACATTTTTGGTATAAACCATACTTCTGTGGTACAACATAGATTATTAAGAGCAATTTATATATCCCTCAGCTGGATAACTTGCTAAACTGGTTCAAAATTGCATGTACAGTGAGTCAGTGAGATTTTGGAATTCTTACATTAGTATATACCAATTGCCTAGATTGTAAAAGGCTACCATAAGAAAACCAATAAAACTTCAAAAATCATTGGATTATTTGACCAAGAGCTATTTTTTTTGCCATAAACAAGTCATAATAAACATGTTTTATTGATTTCTATCCCAAATAATGCAAAAATAAGAACTTGGAGTCAAGTCTTGACTGCATGCATGTTGTATGACCATAAAAGGCTTAAATACCTTATTATGTCAATTTAAGAGCTGAAACTTCTCATAAACAGAATTGTTCATCCAAAAAAGATGATTAAACATGATTACTGACATCAAATATGACTTATTGTCATTGGAATAGGTACAACTTCTAAAAATTGAATTCCTGATGATTCTCTGTAATAGGAAGTACACCACTAATTCATGGCCCCATTGCTTTCTATGTTAAATTCTTCAATTTCAAGCAGGCACAGCTCTTTAAATATTTTAAAGTTCAAATAAAGTGACAATCGTTGCATGTCAAAGCAACACTTTATGGTGTCTTGTACTGAAAAAATCAACATACCTTTAATGGCATATAAGAAAGAACTGGTTCCCAGAACTTCAGATATACCAAAACCAGTCAGAGCTCTGACATAAACAAGTCAGAATAAAATGACTTCCATAGGTCAGATATAATTTGATGTAAGTGTTGTCTCCCTTCTTGCACTCAACAGAATATGACTTGTACAGGTCAGTTTATGTCAGACTTTAATTTATCATAAAATGACTTCCACAGGTCAGATTTTGCACAAAATATTGTGACTTAATATCTTCATATTCTAATAAGATTTATGCCCCTTTTTAATGCATTTTGACTTCGAGAGGTCATTTTTGTTCTGATTTGAAGCAGTCATTACTACCACTTTGTTATCAATCTCCATAAAAATATGGTGATTACTAGTTTCGAATTAAAGAGTTTTAAAAAGTGGGGCTCATCTGACATCATACCTTCTCCTTTCCAGAATCTAAACATAATATATTTATCTCATCACTTTCAATTACTTATTTCAAAATACAAAGAAAAACCAGGTGAGAAAAAATGGATCATACAATTTTCTGAATATCAAAAGATTTACAAAATACAATATTGGATACATTACATGACAATACTTCAAATCTTCCAAGGAAAAACAAGACACTTATTCATGATAAGACTATGTTAATGAAAGATATATTCTCATCCACTTTAAGCTAAATGTATTAAGAGCAAAACATTTATTATTTTAATATTTCATTGAGGTAAATACTGTTGTGCAAACTGACTCAAACAAGTCACATTATGTTCTGACTTACTAAACGTATTACAACTTTTAAGTCTAGTATTGTCATATTGATTTAAAACTGTATAGGTAAGCCAGATAAAAGACTGAGGAAATTAGGTCCCCATAAGTCACAATAATGAGGACTATAAAAAAGTTTATTTGGTATATTCAATATTAAATGTATTTTGTTTTAAACAGGTCAAATCATGTTCTGACTTAAAAGAGTCAGTCCAAAACTAAAATAAATTTATTGAAATATTTAAGCCGGGCATTGCCATATGATATTAAATGAATGTATGGGAACGTCAGATAAAAGACACAGGAAATATATGTTAAGATCCCCTAAAATAATTAACCATTTGACTTAATTGTTTCTAAAAATTTATCAAATAATAAACTCGAAAATGGCAGATTCAGAAGCAGTCTGAAAGCAAGGACTTTCTTGGATTAAAGGAAGTACACCTAGCTTTGATTAGAAATTTTGTTCTGTAAACTGACTAACAGGTCAAATCATGTTCTGACCTCAAAGAGTCAGTCAAAACTAAACTTATTACAACTTTTAAGTCTAGTATTGTCATATTGATTTAAAAATGTATGGGAGAGCCAGATAAAAAACAGAGGAAATAAGGTCCCCTAAAGTCACAATAATGAGGATTATATAAAAAAGTTTATTTGGTATATTCAATATTTAAATGTATTTTGTTTTAAACAGGTCAAATTATGTTCTGACTTCAAAGAGTCAGTCAAAAACTATACTTTAACTAATTATTGCAACTTCTAAGTCTGGCATTGTCATATGCATTTAAGAATGTATGGGAAAAACAGATAAAAGACACCCAATAATAAAGTCACAATAATGAGGACTATAAAAAAGTTTGTTTGGTATATGTAATATTCAAATGTATTTTGTATACAAGTTTCATCAAATTATCTTAAAATTTTATTCTATTTCTGTATTTTCATGACCTTTTCTTTTCTGTTAAGTTAACACATGGAACTTTTGGTTGTAAAAAATATTATTTAAAAGACCATTTGACTGAATTGTTTCTAAAAAAACTTATCAATTAACATGATTAATTAACTAAACAGTAGCAGATTCAGATAAAGGGAAAAATGGGGGGGGGGGGGGGGGGGGGGGGGGGGGGGGGGGGGGGGGCTTAGAGGAAGAAGACCTAGTTTTGATTGGAAATTTTGTTCTGTAAACTGACTTTAACAGGTCAAATCATGTTCTGACTTCAAAGAGTCAAACAAAACTAAACTTATTTCAACTTTTAAGTCTAGGATTTTCATATTGATTTTAAAATGTATGGGAAAGCCAGATAAAAGCCAGAGGAAATAAGGTCCCCTTACGTCACAATAATGAGGACTATAAAAAAGTTTATTTGGTATATTCAATATCAAATGCATTTTGTTTTTAAAGATTTTCATCAAATTATCTTAAAATTTTATTTTATTTCTGTATTTTCATGACTTTTCTTTTCTGTTAAGTTTACACATAGAACTTGTGGTTGCCAAAAAAAATAAAATTTTAATAACCATTTGGCTGAATTGTTTCTAAAAAAACTTATCAATTAATTAACTCAACAGTAGCAGATTCATATTTAGGGGGGGGGGGGGGGGGGGGGCTTAGAGGAAGAACACCTAGCTTTGATT